TTTTTCCCAAAGTCTATGGATCCATACAAAATGGCACACCGTTCATTAAAAACCGACAAAAATAAAAAGTCCAGTAAAAGATATGATGGTAAAGCAAATTTTGGGCCATTATTTTTGTTAGGCTTATAGTCAAAGTTTTTGGTAAGTCGTCGATTTCGTGGACTTGAGATTAAGCTAAGCCAACACTAGGGAGAGATTCGTAGTTTGCTCTATAAATACCGACTGTGTCTTAGCTCGATAGTTAAGTCAGAGCAAAGTCTAAGTGCGCACTATAGATCTCACCCTTAGAGGCTAATGTTTACTATACTAACTTACATAACAGAATGTTAGCTAATTAATATATTGTATAACTATAATATACAATATAACATATGGTAGCTATATATGAATAATCATAGAAATTTTATAAAACATCTAATTGTAACCAATAAAGGTAAAATATACAGCTGTTTATTTAAGAATTAACTTTTAGCGGAAACGAGATAAACACTAAGATATAATTTGAACTAAAAGACGAAACATTTTAAAATTACCGGCCGATAATATTTAAAACCGGTAACCGGTACATTCAATAACAAACACTTATTGTTAGCATTTTAGTATGAGTCTAACACTTATCAAATAAAAATGTAAATATACAAAATAAAATGTTGAAAATAATAACTAAAACTATAATGTTCGGTGAGTTGCATGAATAAATTACCCTCAATTATTATAAAACTTGAGCCTAAAAGTTAAAAAAAATAAAGCCTACAACCTTTTAGCTCTGAACCTCAAGTTTTTATCTGTATGGTGATAATTTGCTTTTTCTTATAGGAAAGTAGGCGATGGGTCTACACCGTACGAGCGAGTGTTAAACGATACAAAAAAGTCCGGGACATAGCCGGGGTTCAAACTTACGACCGCTATCAGAGTAGCTGAAAACATAAGGCCATGAGTAGAGGTACCTTTAGTTTTACCTTAGTTGTCCCACGTGAAGCTATAATTTCAGCTTGGACTATTCCTATGTATAAATTGTCCCTACTCTGAATCTTAATGTAAGATACAGAATAAATAAAGCACTAAGTTAAAAAAATTCGCTACAGGTTTTTCAATCAACGTGTCGTTTGAACCACCACTTAATGAAGGGAATATTTTAAAAATTAAATATATTATTTTTTATTATAATACAACAAAATAGCGCGCAATAACCGCGGTTACTCGGTTTGGTTATTAGTCCTTGACACAAGATTTGCTCCAATTTGTTACGCGAATTTAAATTTACTAATCATTTAAGATGCTGATTTACACAGCCGTCAGCAAGGTGAACGTGAGAATACTATATATAGTTCAAATTAGACTTTATTATGACTTTAAATGTAAGTATAGATTTAATGTTTCATGTTTGCATAAATTTTTTACCTCCTTTTTACTTTGCTTCATAAAACATATTTTCTGTTATGTGGTTTCATCTTGTCTTATATTTGAAACATGAACCAAAAAACTACAAATCATACAATAAAATTATGATGTTTAAAAACAGTAAACATCTTCATATTTTAGTGCATTATAGGCTAACTGTGAAGAGAGAATAAGTGAATGTTACGCAAACTATTTATTTCCTTATTAAAAGCCAAACTTTTTCACATAACCTATCTAGATCACTATTATTAAGAAACTATTAAAGATATGACCACAATAGTTCAGAAGGAAAGAAGTATGACACTGATTTATTATATATAAACCTACAAAAATTTACTCAATATTGAAAAAAATTAACAGCACTTGCATTGAAAAACCTTTAAATTTAAAACAAAACTAGTTTGTGTGAGCGCATTACACTGACATTGGAGTTGAATATCAACTGTTTCAAAATAGTGTGGTGCCAAATTCATGAATGTAATATAATGATAAACATCACATATGTTATTTAGACTATAATATGGTATTGCATGTGTTTATTGTATCACAAACCATGTTGATTTAAAAATTTAATTGAAAATCCAGTTATATAATGCAATTACAGTATTCAAAATTTTTATCTCATACTATATTCTTAAAGTGTAAAATATTTTATATTAATATATCACATCAAAATCAATACTAAATTAAGAAACATTTTTCAACTAACCATTGCCTAGCTAATATGCATTCTTATTGGGAATATGACATACAAGTTTAATTTGTTCAGTAACCTTGCTCATTTGCCAAATTGTTCATATCTCAAAGCAATTTTCCCCATTGAAATTAATTGAAATGCCATTAATCCATTCCAGCACTCCAAACACCACCTCATATCAATAAGAAAATGATTTCACACTTTAATTCAATAGACACCATCTTTTTCGGACACAAGGTTATAAAAATAAAAAAAAGCAAACCCAACTAATAAAAAAAGCGAACCCAACTAATAAAAAATGCTTCGAAAATGAGGGAAACAAACAAACAGCAAATGTCTAGTCTCAGGTGGGAGAAACTGTTAGAGTAGTGTGAGATTCCTCGTATCTCAAATCTTGCTCTCATCTCAAAGCAAAATATTGCTTGCTTGGCTGCTCGTATTTCAAAATACTTGTATATTGGGGCACTCATATATTGAGGTACCACTGTATCTTACTATTTTATATACAAACATTTGCCTCATACTTTACAAATCATATCATTATTTTTGCCAAATCATAAGATAGCCATTAAGAATGCTAGTTATTCCTACATTATTAAAAGTTATAACATTGTAAAAGGGCAGAACATACAAATGCATAATATGTAGAACATTATTATTTAATAAATCTTACTTATGTATGAGGTATTTTTTTAAATAACATCTTAAAATGTCTAAAAACACAAATTGTATTTTTTAATTTTTTTATAAAGTCTTATTTAAAGCTTCTCTATTTTAAAATATCAATTTCAATGCAAAGATTCTAGCTTGATTCTAGTGTGAAATTGCAAAATCTGTGAGAATTCTAGTATTCTCAAAGAATATTACTTCAGGTTTTTGGGCAACAAATCTAGTAATTTTATAATGTTTAAGGTTAAAAAAAGAGATACAGAAATAAGAAACGATAGATAATATGATAAAGGGAGTTTATATTATTATATTATAACTATTGATCAGATAAGCATTGCTGACTTAAAATATAGTTAGGGCATATTTCTTATTATTGACATAAATACATTTTGCAGTTTGTTAATACTTAGGCTACACAATATTATAGGTATGCGTCAATGTTTATGTTTAGGTCGTAAAGCGCATGAATTCATGGCGCAAATTGATCCTTATTTTATGAATGAACTCAAATTACATCACAAGTCACAACCTACTTGTATTGGCCTAAAAAGTATGTAACCCGGCTTAGATTAAAATAATTAATTTAAATTTGATAATAACGCTAAATATATAACGTAAAAAGATTAAGGAAAATAGTTGAAACTGAGCCACTTAATATTTTCCGTGAATTACATTTATAAACAATATCAAACATACGGCATACCTCTGTGTCGCTTTCGCCGTTTTTGTTATTTTCTGTTTTGGTCTTCATTCTATTTATCACTACTTACAACACTAAACAATGAATTTCACTGCACAAATTTTATGTTTAATCCAACAAAAAGTAAACGTTTATCGAAATTCCAATTTTATATTCATCAATCATCAATCAGTATTTGAGAATGTACTCTATGGTTTATGCCATCAATGTACGTCACAGTATAAATAGTACCACAGACTAAAAACCTTTGAATACAGATATCAAAAATATTAAGTCTAGATGTTACATTACACATGTCTAATATATATAGTCTACCGTGTATCGTTTTAAACAAATATTGAAGAGAATCATATTATCCAGTTATACAAAGTAAACTAAGTTATAGCTCTCATATTACACAATTTGTATCCAATCTGGCAGCCCTTCTTTTTTTATTACAGGTTATAGGGAGGAACAAACGAACCTATCAGACGCCCATAAAGGGTATTATCTATACGAAATATATAAAATTCTCGTGTCACAATGTTCGTTCCCATACTCCTCAGAAACGGCTCGACCGATTCATATGTTTTATCCAAATTCAGTAAGTCTGAGAATGGGCTACTATCTTTCAAACCCCTCGGTGATAAGGAGTGTCCACCCCAAAAATTAGATTTTTATTTTTAGACAATTTTTTTTGTTTTTATTTTTTTATGATAAAGCATATAAAAATACACACAACCCTTTATTTTCAGCTACCCTCTACAATCAACCCTTATTTATATTTGTTAGTTAAAAACTTATAACTTGAACCCTGAGGTTTATATAGAGAAAAATAGGTAGTCTAGGCATTAAGGAGAAACATAGTTCGCGGGGACAGCTAGTTATATGTATATTAACATCATAATGGTTTATACTAAGCGTAAAGGATATGTACAATACGTAGGTGAAACGTAAAATTATACTCCTAAAACATTCGCTATTTGCGATATCTACCTAATTACTTACCTATACCGCAGCGTGTCATCATCGTGTGTTATCATTTTGAGCTCTTATATTATAGTTTCGAAGCAGTTAGAAATTGTATAACTAAAGACAAAAACGTCTCTGAAATAAGGATACTGTCTACTGCGCGCTAGTCTTGATTTAACAACTCCGATGGGATACAGGCAATCTATTGTTCCCGGTTGTAGGCCGCAGTTTTACCAGCAATTTTTTTGTTTTGTATCGGTATAGGTAGGTTTTATTTGGTAAAAAAGGATACAACGGAGTTCTAATAATTATTATATTTATATAATATAAACCGTCCTAGGTACCTTAAATAAGTACCTGTACAGTGAAGTATACATATGAACAATATGAACCTATTATGTATTTCAAGAACACTCTAAAAAGAAACTTCTAAGGCTTCTACATATTGAGCACAATATTAAAAAATAAATATTGAAATAGTAAAAATAACTAATAAACAGATTTAGTGTCACTTGAAAGAAATATGCCATTACTATTTACATTCCATTTAAAAAATAACTTTGATATTACAAAATATCAAAGTTATTTTTTAGGTTTGGGGCCTTTGGGTTTCTTAGCTACTTTATATGGTCCCAGTTCACGACGCACGAGCAGCCCTCTCCACCACGCTTGGACAATGATGGCAGACTTCGTCATCTTCTCACGGTAAAGTCTAGCCTTCTCACGCTCTTCTTTAAAGTAGTTCCAATCCTTCATTTGCTTGTCATGACTTTCAATCTGTTATCGCACCGGAAAAAAAATATCTAATATATTTAATATTTAAATAATTCTAGGATAGTTTCTTTCCTTTGAAATTTAACTAAAATTGGTATTTTTTACTTAATTTGAAGTGGACATTTGCGAGAGAAAATTATGAGATTACAATTAGTAATTGATCGTTTGCAGGGATTTTAATGAAATCAGTGATTTCGGTACATAATCGCACACAAAGTATGAACTTAACGAGGTTGTCAAAATAAGTTTATGCAATAGTCTTACTAAAAAAAAAAAAACAAAAAAATTACCGTTTCCTCGAGTCCTACGCGCCGATCGTGCTCATTTTGATATTCGTTTTTCTTCAATTGTATTTTAAGATCTATATGCTCCATATCTCTGTCATATTTATTCATCCAATCTTCTACCTTTTGTAAGGTTTCCTATATTTCAAATAAAATTATATTTTTTATCTGAAGGACCATGGTCGATCAACGCGTGAATGTTCAACCGGTTCAAATGTATGCTGCGTCGCTATATCTTAATATATATGTCACGTTGTTTGTCCGCTATGGACTCCTAAACTACTGAACCGATTTCAATCAAATTTGCACACCGTGTGCGGTTTGATTTAACTTAAAAGATAGGAGCTAACATCTCAATTTATACCCGAAATATTATTTTATTGCAAATTATTTGTTAATTATTTGATAGTCACAATTCCAACATAGGGCGCTGTGTTGAAAGTACCAACGTTTCACATAAGCCACAATTTAATGACATTACCACCAAAAAAGCATGGTGGTCCCCATGACTGGTGTTCTCCTACCGATTCCCTTGAATAGTTTACTACTATGTAATATAACAAAAACCTTAGCCACAGCAACGCTTGGCCGGTCTGCCAGTTATTATGTATAATTTAATAATTGAAAGCCTAACATATTATGTTGTTGGTTAATTCTATGCGTGACATTTAGGAGGAAAATAGAAAAGTTGAAATTGAGAAAACTAAAAAATTTGCGCGATTTATAACTGGCTATATACAAAATCACTTTTAAAAAATGAGATTAATACGTTTATAATAATATTAATTAAAAGTTCCACTTCAGTGTGAACTCGTTGTTCATGGTCTGTCCTCTGCTTATAATACTCTATGGTTCGGGATGGACTCTCTTCATTGTCTATGATTGTTTGAAGATGTTGCTCCGTACGGGCCCGCTGCCAACCATCAGTGTATCGACTCTCAGTTTCTGCATTAAGTGCTGCATCCTATAACAGTACATATTTAGATTTTGTATTGTTGTATTCTTTTTTAACTCTATTTCGCAATAATACCTGTTTAAAGTAGGTACAAAATACCAAGAAGATGGTTCTATATCATGAACCCAGTCCTGGGTTCGATTTCCGATACAATAATTACTGAGGGTTTGAGCGGATTTGCCTTTTAATTTTTTTTTATACATTTTATGTCGCATTTGAGGTGGTAACGAGACTTCAAAAGTTCAAACAATAAAAATACTCACTTCCACGTAATTCTTCAACCTTTCGATAATAGCGTCTGTATCATAAATTACTGACTTAATATGGTTACGTTGCTGCCGTAATTGTTTGTTGAGGTCATGACGTAAGCTGGCAACATTAAATGAAAGTTAAAAAAAGTTAAGTTCTGATATTAACCTTATAAACACCACAATTTTATTATTCTAAGCAATTGTTGCCGTCGGCGACATTGCTAGATTGCGGATACAACTTGTAAATAATTAGTAATTACAAGGATTTTATAAACCTTAGGTACAGAGGGTACGATTTGGTCCATGACCATTTGGATTAGTGACTCTCGCCTGTCGCAAAATATTTGTTGAGAACTTTGAAACACACTCTGTTACTGATAAAATATTAATAGTGAGAAAAATATTTCAAAAGTATTAATATTAAACCCAAATGGCGCTGGACCGGGCACATGACGAGAGATTGGATAAAAATTATTACAGAATGGAAACCATGAGATGGAAAAAAGAAAAGAGGAAGACAGAACAAGACATGGGCAGACGATATAAAGAGAATAGGAGGCACAACTTAGACTGGAGGCCTATGTGTCACAGGACACGTTGATAACCAAACACGGGCCATATATTAGGTCCTTACATATGAAATTGGCGTATTTGCAACGATGTTCTCCTCTTTGGTAAGGAATTCCAAATTCAAATTTGTACAGCTATTTACTCATGTATTTGTGCTTCGATGACCGTCATTCATTTGTTTTTGCCTTCTGTTTTTTTTTGTTTGCGTCACTCATTTTACAAAATGGAAAACTTAAAGTATCGCATTATTTACTAGTACGAGTTCCGCCGTGGCACTAGTGCTGCGGAAACGACTCGAAGGGTGAATGATGTGTATGGCGGTCATGTTGCAAAAGAAAACACAGTTCGTTTTTGGTTCCAACGTTTTCGTTCTGGAAATTTCGACCTGCAGAACAAGCCCCGTGGACGGCCTGAGACCCAAGAGGATCCATCGCAAACCACGTCCGAGTTAGCTGCAGGCTGCGGTGTTAGTGATAAAATTGTTTTAATTCACTTGAAGCAAATTGGGAAGATTAAAAAGCTTGAAAAATGGGTACCTCACGAATTGAATGAAGCAAACCGGCAAACGCGCGTAGACTGCTGCGTTACATTACTGAACCGGCACAATAATGAAGGTATTTTAAACCGAATCATTACCTGTGATGAAAAATGGATTCCTTACGATAATCGGAAGCGCTCAGCGCAATGGTTCCAACCATTGCGCTTTTCCTGGCCAGCCAGCCAAATCCTGCCCCAAGCGAAAATTATCCCCAAAAAGTTACTTGTAAGCGTTTGGAGGACTAGTGCCGGTATTGTTCATTGCAGTTTTCTCAAATCTGGCCAGACTACTATAGTACGAGATCCTGATGTCATATTGGTGCGCTCATCGACTATTTGTTTAAAACCAAATTTTTATGTTTTGGAAAATTAAGAGTTATAACTAGGGTGCCTGATCAAAATCTGGCCGCCATTATTTTTAATTAAACGTTATTTTTAACTGATTCGGTAAAAAATTGCGTTCATTTACTATTTAAATAAAATAACGTCTACATCACGGTAATTAATATGAAGCATCCTCAAAACTCCACAGGTGCCGTTGCGCAACATGGCAGCACCTTTTGTTGCCAGGTGTAAACAGGTACTGATTGCAAGGAAAAATTTATACGTTTATAACCTATTTTATTAATTATATGTCACAATTGAAGCTGATTTTTCCCTTTTAATGGTATTATAGTAAAGTGGCCTTAATGAACTACCTGGATGCAAATAAGGGCTACTGGCTGTTAAAGATAAAACAATGTTTCAAACTTAGGATTGAAAGAGAGTTAGCAATAACATCATTTGTTAAACGAGGATACGATTGTCGGCTGTTGCACGCTTTACAAGCCAATGCCATGCGTCGAACGTTAGTGTTCTCATACCACCGGGGTGTAATCAATAAGACGACTTATAATAAATAATCCAAAAAATAATTTTTTTCAAAATGACAAATTATTCTTCAACAATTCAGCCCAGACATGGCTGGCTGGTATCTCAGATGGCTATTAAAACCAACATGGTTCCTGGGAGACTCAACAGCACACGCAGCAGTTAATAGTGTAGCTATGTGGAAATCTGAACAAAGCTTCCGATAACGACTGATTCTGAAATAGTTTGTAGCGAGGACAAGTGAATGCGTGGATGATAGTACAACAGAAAGCTCCGATGATTCAGAAAAAAAGTGTTACGGAAATATAAGAGTTATAAGATTTTACCTTTTTTAATTTTTAATTTGCTTAAATGTTTAATTAATATGTAACTAGTACAATCAATTACTTGAATAAAGTCTAATAAAATTTTTAAATAATACTGCAATAAAATTTTCTTTTATTAAGTCACCTTGGTTTTATTTTTTTATTTTAAAAATCATATTAAATATCGACGTTCTAATGTAGCGAAATTATCAAACTCCCTTTTAGAGAATCTTTTATTTGTATCAGAAAAAACAATGACTTCAAAATTTATTATCATTTTAAAAACCATTTAATATCATTAATATCTAATAGAGATATAATTTTTAAGTTTGAATCTTTCAAATAATTTGAATTGGATTATGTCTTCATCAAAATGTTAAAAAAACCACGCTCTAAAAATAAGGAGTTAGACAAATTGCTAACTAGACCGTCGATATATCAAATCAATATTAATTTTTTGTTGCAATTTTTAAATTTGTCATTTTGAAGGAAATTACATATTTTTTGGAGTAGCTTTATTATAAGTCGTCTCTACTTACTCCCTGGTGGTTGAGAACACTAACGTTCGAGGCATGGACAATGGCTTACAAAGGCGTGGTCACAGCCGACAATCGCTGTCCTCGTTTGACAAATGATGTTACGCGCTAACTCTCTTCTCACCTTAAATATTTATTATCTTTAACAGCCAGTAGCCCTTATCTGCGGCCAGATCTACAAAAAGCAACTTTATATGACAATTAATAGAAAAAAATTGGCTTCAATTTGACATATAATCGTAAAAATAGGTTATGAAACGTATAGAATTTACGTCCGACAGTTCGTACCTGTCTTACACCGCAACAAAGACAAGGTGCGCCGACAGTTCGCGCAACGGCAACCACGACTTTTTAGAATCTTCGATATTTAATTACGTGATGTGACATTACTTTATTTAAATAATAAATGAACACAATTTTTTACCAAAAATCAATTAAAAATAATTTAATTAAATTAATGGCGGCCAGAATTTTGATAGGCAGCCTAGTAAATATATATCGTTTATTATAAATAAACATAGAATTTGGTTTTAAAACAAATAGTCGATGAGCGCACCAATCCTCAGCGGCATCTTAGACCATGGCGGCTGATGTGCTCATTGTCAGCAATTGCAAACCATGATGGAAAAGCTAGCGGCTAAACAACCTAGGCTGGTCAATCGCTCCACGCCACTGCTACTTCACGACAACGCTAGAACACACACTGCACAACATACGGCTACCAAATTAGAAGAGCTTCAATTGGAAGGTCTAAGACATCCTCCGTACTCCCCAGACCTTGCTCCAACAGATTACCATTTTTTTCGAAATTTGGACAACTTCTTGCAAGGGAAAAAATTTAACTCTGATGGGGCAGTCCAAATCGCCTTCACAGATTTTATTGAATTCCCGTCCGACTGGTTTTTTTAGTAAAGGGATCAATGAACTACCTATGAGATGGCAAAAGTGCATAGAAAACAATGGTTCATACTTTGATTAATTAAATATATTAATTATTTAAAAATATTCGACTTTTTGTTCCTCCCATACAAAACGCCAATCTCATATGTAAGGACCTAATATTATACTGGGTATATGTTATACTGGGTGTCATCAATAAAGGCTTAATAATAATAATAATAATATTAACAAACCTTTTATTCTTAACTTCATCGTCGGCCACCTTGACTCGGTATTCATCAGTCGCCACTAAATTATTTACGAATTCTTGTAATACAGCATACCGGTTGTGTAGCGTCAAATCTTTATAAGTATCTCTTAACACCGATGCGAAATAGTTTCTAAGGACACGTAGAATGCGTGGATAAATGTATCAAGAGAATTATGAAAAAGAAAATATATCTGACTTAAGAAAAACTTCTGGATATCGCCTGTGAGTTTGAACACTACCTAGCTTTAGCCTTAAATAGTTCTATGTACTATGGAATATATATATATTAGCAGTGTTGGGTTAGTGGATTCAGCGTGCGACCCTCATCCTTAAGGTCGTAGGTTTGATCCCCGTCTGTGTACCAATGGACATTTTATGCGCGCATTTTACATTCGCGCAAATGTGAAGGAAAACATCGTGAGGAAACCGGCTTGCCTTAGACCCAAAAAATCTACAGAGTGTGTCAGGCACAAGGCTGATCACCTTGTCTATTAGATTTACAAATGATCAAAAACAGATATAGAAATCTGAGGCCCTGACCTAAATAGGTTGTAGCGCCACTGACTTATTTTTATGTTTTTATATACATACAATATACATGTATATATGATAGTACATACTGTATTCCATTTGACTTAATACTGAAAAATATTAGGTCGTATCTACGGGTAAAATTATATAATAGAGAATAAATAATAATATTAACCTATCAGAATCCAATTTATTCAACTTATATTCATTGCAAACCAAGTTATTTGGATCTATAGATTCCAGTTCATCAGTCACTTTGGGTTGAGCGACTCCATATTTCAGGGGAACGAGCAGTTTCATATCCAGCTTAGTTTTAATAATTCGCAGTTCATTATTGCATTCAACTACAAGAAATTAAGCTTAATTACTTCATCTCTCTTTTTTTTATAGAACAGACAAGAGGCTCATATGATGTTTAGTGATACATTCTCAATGCCAGAGGGCTCACGTTGCCGGCCTATTGGTACGCGCTTTTCTTAAAGGACCCTTAGTCGAAATGGTTCGGTAATATTTCAGTGGGCAGCTGGTTCCACATAGTGGTGGTGCGCGGCAAAAACTGCCTTAAGAAACGCTCAGTTGTGGAACGACGGACGTCGACGTGATACGAGTGGAATTTCGTATTCTGCCTAAGTCTGAAGATTAAACTCAGCTGCAGGTATTAATCCAAACAACTCTTCTGACAGGCATTACCCGTCCAAATCGTATCCACTAACACTATTTAGTAATTATCACGATTCGTGTGTCCTTTTCATTGCATTTATTTTGGCTTTGTTATTATATTCATGTTTAAATACATACATACATATGTAGTTTTACACTCCTTTCGGTCGTTTAATTTTATTTTTCCTTAGTGGTTGCCTGGGAGAGATCGCTCGAAAGCGATAGGGCCGCCAATTGCTTCCCTATTATTTAATTACTATAATTTGTACTGATTTTCGCAACGGAGTGATAATTTGAATCCTTTTTTAACTTACCACGATTGCCGTAGACTCGAAACGAGTTATGTAAAGAATGTAATTAATTTGCGTTTATATATGTTGAACAAGTTGTAGGTATTTAAATTTAATGTGCGTTCTCGTTTAAGACTACCACCTATTCGTATATAAAGTGCTATCGTATCAAATCTGACTTTCAAAGATCGACTCTATAATTCGCTAACAAAGTAGCGACCAATAATAATACTATGTAATGACGGAATTTCGACGTAGTTCTTTAAATATCCGAAGCGTGTATATGACAACACTTCGATGTTATTTTAATACTTAATAGAAATAAAATCAAATATACCAAGAATCCGCATCTGCGTCAGTGCATCTTCTAAAATAGTAGCAAAGAAAGAAGCCTGAAGGTATGATAAACTAAAAAAAAAGAGATATTGAGCATAAACTATATGCTATGTTATAATTCCTTACACAGCAAACAACAGCAAAAAATCTTATATGTATATGTAACTTATCGCATTCAATAAAAGTATATTACCAAAACACCTTATTTTTGTTTTCTGTATCAAATTCATTCATGGATATCTCCCGCAAAATCATTTCTTGGTTCAAAGTAGTCTGAAAACATAATATTTTTTTTATATAACATTTTGTTGGATACAATCTTCGAATATATAAGAATTTAATATAAAGTGTAAAAAGCTAACTCACATAATTCTGACCATTCTTAATATCGTAATCTATTTCGCAGCGCCAGGTTTCTTGGACCAGGCTCATAAGTCTCGGATTTGGCATGATTACTATGATTATTAAAAATTACGATGAAAACGCTATACAAAATCAGTTTAACAGAAGCTTAATAATATTGATCGATGTCGAATCATTGACATGTCCTTTGTTTATTTATTTTCGGCTAATGAGATTTATGGATTTCTATTATCTATGTAACATACATTTAAATTTGTATGAAAATTTGTCCACACGAACTGTCATTTTCATACAAATTTAATTTAGTTTTTTTTATGTAACACGGCATATAGCCTGTCCCGGCTTTGTATGGCTGGGGACTTGGTCAAGTTGCCTTAACAGTAGTGTATGTAGAAAGTCGAAAACTAAAAAAAAGGCATCTTGACTAAGCCCCCCTGGACATTTATTTTTTATTTCAATATTATAAACTGTTCCTTTACAAGTTTATGTTATACATAATTAGTTATAAAAGGTTAAGTTTTCTTGTTTTGTTTATATATAATATTTTTGTTGAATTTTTATAAAAATAAGTTCTATTTTATGAGTATAAAATAAAAATAATAAGGGTAAAAGAACTTTTGAGATCGGTCCGCTAGTTTTCGTGTTTACTCATTCCCTTTTATAATATTAGTAAAGAATTTACAAAACCAATAAAATATCGTCACCTGCGACGTTGATCCAAGTAAAAATATTATAAACAAAACTTTTGGTAATCAATTTATTAAAACAGTAACAATTAGCAAAATCATAAAAAATAAACCATATACAAATATAAAACAATAAAAAATAAAAAATAGTAACTAATATTATCGAATATAACAACACAAACATAGAAGCCTCAACATCATTTCTTATCAATCTTATCGTATTACTTTTTTTTCTTATCGCCCCGTGCTGGTCGCTTTGTGGGTTTATATGGCCCCAGTTCTAATCGCACCAGTAACCCACGCCACCAAGCTTGAATTGCCAAAGCTGCGTCTGTCATCTTCTCTCTGTATAAGCGATCAGCTTCACGCTTGTCCTTAAAGGCTATCCAGTTGTTCAGTTCCTCCTCTCGGAGCTTCAGCTGTAAGGTTTGATAAGTATATTAAAAGTATTAAATATGGTCAGGAAAAGAAACAGATACATGTCTTGTTTATGGATCTTTTATAAGTTTTCCGGAAAATAGAAAAGTTTCTGTTTTCAAAACAGAAAATTAGGTAAAATTAAGAAATAGAGGAAAAAGGTGTTAGTTGGATTTCAAGTCCTAATTTTTCTTTCGCAATTTTGTTTATTCACGTTGGAAGTCAAACCATGATCGGTATCGTGACATGTTCTGGTGTTTATTTATTTTCGGCCAATGATTTGTCACTGAGATTTATGGATTTTTATTAAATAAAAAATATTTACTATGGAATATAAGATACAGGTATCACTTATCCCACGGAATTAAATTTGAATCGGTAGACATCCCTACTCATCGAAAAAGAAGTCAGAGGGTGTAGGCCGATAGAAAAATTCGAAGTAAAAAACTTTCATACAAAATGACTATGGCAAACAACACTTATTTTAAAACAAATATCGCAAATTAATTAGAAGTAGCCTGTCTAGCACTAATCCCAGGCCCTTTTACCAAATAGATAATCGTTAACTTTATAGTAAGCCTTTTTACACAGCTTTTATCTATGTAACATACGGCATATAGCCTGTCTCTGCTTTGTATGGCTGAATATTTTTTTTTCTTTCAATATTAACTATGTTTGTACCTTTTCCTCAAGCGCATATCTCCGTTCTTCTGTTGTTTCATATTTATTCTTCGTCCTTTGTATCTTTAAATCCATTTTCTCCATGTCTTTTTCATACTTTACCATCAAGTGTTCTACTTTTTCTAAAATTTCCTAAAATCCAAGATCTAATAAAAAAAGTGAAATTCCGCTTTTTAAATTTAATGACGATATTTGGAAAGATGTATTTTGTTGCTTTAATGTTTACGTCTGGACTTTAGATAATGATAAAAAGGATACTTGAGCGTTGAAGGTTATTACTAAATCAGGAGATAATTAGTATAGAATAAGTAGGTCCTACTTAACACAAGTCTTCTAAAGAATTGATTTTTTTTACATTTAAAGCTTTTTTTGTAGATGCGCTTACATTGATGAGAATGTTAATAAGCAGTTCAACCTCGCTGTGAACTCTGTGTTCTTGTTCTATTTTTTGCTTGTAGAAGTCAATATTTTTAGCATGAGGCGTGTCCTTGAGTGTTATTCTTTGAGAATTCTGTTCGCAACGAGCGTTTTGCCAATTGCCTATGTATCGGCAACGAATTTCAACATTCAGTGCTGCATCCTGTAAAATAACAAATGAAGGAATGGCTAATTATATTTATTTATTGTCTATTAATTACACTTTATATATCTAGTATTTACAATATTACTAACCTACGTAGTAATAATAATAATTTCAAATTATTAAATAGAAAATTAAAGCAAATTAAAAAAAAAATTGGTCCCTGTGTACGTTAAACGATGGCAGCATTTCCTTGCTGTATTGCGATTAGGGTTGCCAATTTTTTTTTCAGCCAAATTATTAAATAGGCAATATTTGGGGACAAATAAAAGACAAAAACAAAATTACAATATTCAGGCTATTTCTGATTATTAGGAATTCTTCATAAGAGCCATATTTATTTCTTTCTATTTTCAAATGTTACATTTTAAGGCAGATGAAATAGCTTCTTGAAAATTGTAATAGTTTAATTGAGATTCAAAAGTTTGAGAATAAAAAAATAATATTCTCGCCAAAAATTGGAGAGAATATTATTTTCTGAAAAATCATGACGTGACAACAGATAGCCTGTAAAATTATTATTAGCCTGTAGAACTGTAGAAAATCGTTTTTTTAGTGATTCGATTGCGTCAGCAATTAATTCTTAGGCTGCGTCCCCAGTAGGCAAACAGTTAGCCGCTGACTGAGTGAGCCGCAAATTTGCAGCGAACGGAAATTTGAGTTAGCTGCAGACTCAAATCAATTTTCGTGCCAAAACCGGTTTTGGTGGGAGTCGGCCGCTCACTAAGATAGTCGGCGCGCGTAAGGGCCGATTTACATTATCTTAGTGTTTAGGAGAGTATTTTAGTAAAAGTTGAAAGGCAAGTTCTTTAGTGCTTTAGTGCGTTGCGAGTGAACGTTTACATTTCTTCCAGTAGAGTATCATTACAACGCCACAATGAACGCGCAACGACGTCGGCAAATACGCTCTATTCTACGCAAAATACTAACTGTAGTTATGGAACAAATAGAAGACGAGATTTTATTCGAAATAAATAAACTAAATATGAATAATAAATAAAATAGCTTCTTTTAAGGCAGTGTATGCCGAACGAATGCCTAGCCTGTTTGTTTTTGTATAAATTGTTTTTAACGTTCCACAAACATTCGTGAACAATATATTCAGACACAAATTTGATAGTTGTATCTTCCGACCATTTAGCCATCTTTAAAAATCAAAAAACACGCACGCGTTTCACGGCACTTGTGCACTCTCCTAAAGATTGTACTAAATTACGTGTTTACACACAACGAGGGAAGATCTCGGGGGTTGCGCGGGCGCGGGAGGGGTATCACTTGAAACAAAAATAAAAAGCGATTCTATTTTGATTCAACTTGAAAGTCAAGTAGAACCGTACTAAAGCAAGTAGCGTTTACATGTTTCAACTAAAGTACTATCCTAAAGCACTCTCCTAAACACTAAGATAATGTAAATCGGCCTTAACGCTGCAAACTGCGTACAGTGAGCGCAAAACTAGCAAACTGTGAACACTCCATTTGAAATATATGGAAGGGCGTACTAAACCGATCCGCCGCTAACTCAGTCGGCGGCTAACAGTTTGCCTACTGGGGACGCAGCCTTAAAGATATAATAATATAAAACGGAGCACGGTTCGAATAAAGGACTGAGTAAGTCGCCGGGGCATTTTAAACTAAGTCTAAAATACGGGCCGGGTAAGTAGTACACCTACCAGGCGCTAATTTAAATCATTATTTAATGACTCGAACCCTACGGTCTAAGAGTCTCTACTCCAAAGGGAACAAAATCAGTTAGAGGAATGAAATATATTATATAAGCGATTAGAGTCGCTTATTATTTTCCACCTGTTTTACGTCATTTGGTTTTTAGTATAAGAAAAACAAGTAATATTTAAAGCGAAGTTTAGACATAAGCTAATGTTCGTAAAAATTGCGTAATAAAGAAAAATCGACGTTGTAGCAATTATTTATATTTCGGCAATTTTAATAATAATTTCGGAACACTGAGAGGTTTTTGGAAAATTCACTTGTTGATATACAAACCCAGAAATTAAATAAATATACCTGAACTCTATTTTTAAGGTTCTCTACAGTCATATTGCAGTCGTATGTAACAGATTTTATATGGTTCCTTTGTTGCCGCAACTGGCGCTGTGTCTCACGGCGTAACCTGCAAAAATAAATACGTTTTAGCTTTTTTTAAAAAAAAATATATAATACATAATAAGTTACATTTGAAAACCGCTGTGATTTGTATTAATGTAACCATAGCAGTCTTGTTTAGGAGATATATGAGATCGTTATACTATCACATTCACATAGCCCCAAATACTGAACTTATAGGTAGTTTAAAGATTTGGGATCTGATCTCGGTGGGTCATAGTTTAGACAGTGAGCAGTGTTGCAGTAATCGCTGTCTCGGTCTCTCATCCATGAGGTTGTTGGGTCGATCCCTGGCTGTGTACCAATGGACTTTCTGTCCATGTGCGAATTTAATATTTGCTCGTACGGTGAAGGAAAACATCGTGAGGAAACCGGCATGCCTTATACCCAAAAAGTCGATGGCGAGTGTCAGGCATAGAACGCCGATCACTTATTTGTCTATTAAAAAAAAATAAGTGTACACGAAACAGATACAGAAATCTGAAGTCCAGATCTAGAATGTTGTAGCGCCATTGGTGTTGGTGATTGAGTGTTGTTCCCACGAGAATGTAAGTGCATGCATAGAATACAAATGTTTGTTTTTAATTAATTTTATTATTATTAATTATTCATTACTTAAGATGTTACGGTTGGAACTCACAAACATTGTTTAAACAAAAACCTTGGCAATTAAAAAGAGTGGCGGAGAGTTTATTGCCAGTTCTTCTCTTCCGTTCTACGACCTTGATTGATAACTGGCAGTAAATGTAAAATTAGAAGGCTTTTTTGACGATCATAAGTGTACATTGTGTTACCTATATGGATTTTGATTTGATTTGCTTAAGACAAGATGTGACATGAATATAATAAATAATAATAAGGTAAAACATATCAGTCGAACATCGTCATTTCATGTGCCCACAGCTAGGACTAACCTTCTGAATTATTTACATATGATTCGGTATTATTTTAAATAACGAATTACATATGTTAACGGACCTTTTTCATTGAGTGAACAAAAGTTTTATTATTTATTAGTGTCTATAGTAGTTAGTTAATTTTTTGTATTTTTATACTGTAATTTTGTTTTTCCAAATTAGTTATTTGTTTTTTGTTTCGTCTGTAAATTTTAGTCACTTGTTGTAGACTCTTGTCAATTTAGGGTCACCTGTTAATTAAGGCCAGATTGCATGAACAGAATACTCTTTTTAATCTATTCTATAGCATTAAGATCTTACAGTTTATTTTTCGCTTCGTCTTCTATAAGCACTTGAGAGTGCTGGCGTTTGCGTGTGACCGTAGTGACATAGTCTGAGAGTGCGTAGAATCGGCGATGTCTTGCAAGATCCAAGTATGTTTCTGATAGAACATAGACAAGGAGCTTTCTGTAAAACCAAAACTAGGATGCAATTAATACTACATCAGAAAAAAGGGGAAGTAAAAAATGATAAAAGTCAGTTTAAGTACCTACTTTTTAAAATAAATTGTGATAAATATATAGAGAATAGACAAAAAGTTAATATAGACATTTTATTAGTATTTTAAACTCTGTGGTTAATTATAATCGTGGTCGTGAGATCGCTTTATGTACAAAGTAAAGAAAAAATTACAGTATTTGGAACCACCAGGGGTACACACAAATTTGATCTTAAATATAAGTTCTTTACGTTTAAAACGTAAGATACATGCGCAAATGAAAACAATAATAACCAAAATTAGAACTTGCCTATCATTATCCAACTTTTCCAACTTATAATCCAAACAGTCAAGTTTCTTAGTGTCGATACCTTCCAATTCGTCGCACAATTTCTTCTTTTCAACGCCATACTTATCGGCGAGCAACTTCTGCATTTCAACCATTGTTTTTGTTAAACGTATTTCTGTGTTACATTGCTCTGAAAATCATAAATTTAACATAACTTCACATCGGTAGATAACAAATTGTAACAAATCCATAAATCTGAACTGAAGAAACTGTGGAGGGAGGATGTTGTGAGCTTTTACTCCAACTTAAAGGAACAGACTAGTCTAAGTCAGCGAGTCAGGGACTCTATATATCCGGCCCTGAATTATGAATAACTAGAAGATTTCATGGTATGACACCATCTTACTACTTAATTGGCATCAAGATTGTAGAATATAGATTAGAAAGACAAGAAAATATATCATATTTAATATTATTAGACACTACTTAATTTTGACGAATGGAGGCTGAAAGATAATTAAAAACATTAGAAAATTTTACTTTACTATTACAGCCAAATCAGTATTCCGAGTACATGTATGTATGCGCATTACGCATAATTGAATATCTTAATAATATGGAAGGATGGTGTACGGTTCCTTCAACTTAAAGAGAGGATCCTCGACCAGTTTAACAACAGACTTGCCGGCCGACCCGAAGGCCCCAGTGGCCATTTTTTTTTGGAATGGCATCTGCTGGGCTTAAGGGCCTTGACAGCTCAGACTGTTTTGGCGAGCCTAGCTCGGCTGGAATGAGGCCGGCTTCGGAATCGCTTGAAAGGCAGGTCGGAAGCTCACTGGAGCGAGCGAAGTGCGAAGAAAAGGACCCCGTCTTCACCGGTTTCTTTTAAATTTAATTTGTTGCCCACCTCGAGAACCAGTTTTATGTCTTTAGCGGCCGGAATAACTTCAATCAGGGTATAACGTCAAACGTCACGTAACGTCATCGCAGTGATTTGTAAGCCCAGAATGTAGGTGTCGCTACATTTAACCCCCATATTATAATATTCGTTATATAACGCTAAATAACGTTCAACTACTGTTATGACATCTTGACTAAACCCCCAGGACTGCTAGGCTTTAAAAGTCTGGTATGGTAGCAACGCGAGTGGTCTTTCACATACTAATTTAACATCCGATTCGAAACCTTATATCGTTCGTTGGTCCCAGGGTGTGCATTGCTTCTATATATCTTCTTCTGATACTATCTTTACGCTTAACATTTTTACGCCAAACCGGAACCGTTGCATTGGGGAAAAGGAAACAATAGGCACAGTAATTCCCTTTCGTCTCTGCAGAATGATAGCCTCTTACGTCAAAAAACCATTTATTTTTTTATTCTTAGACTCTCGACTTATTTATGTTATTAATTAATATGTCCTTTTCACTTTTTACCATCCGCTACCGACGCTTTATTGTTCACTGAAGAGGTGAACCAGAACATTGTCGCAGTATTCCGCAATTTATAAGCACTCACCCAGTATGCGGATTTGTGTAATACAGTCTTCTAAAGCCGTGGCAAAGAGCGATGCCTTGAAGTATGGTAGGCTAAAATAAAATATTTATTTATAACAGAAATTATATAATAAATATTGTTTGTTGATAACATCTTACCTGAACTTGTCATAATACACTTCCTTCATATCATCGATGCCCTGTAAAATTAATTAACTATGTAGTAATTGTTAATCTTAATATATATATAAATTACGCGTCACGTTGTTTCTCCGCTATGTACTCCTAAACTAACGAACCGATTTCAATCAAATTTGCACACCGTGTGCAGTTTGATCTAACTTAAAAGATAGGATACATGCTTACATCTCAATTTATACCCGTAATATTATTTTATTGAAAAATATTTGTTTATTATTTGATAGTCACAATTCCAACAGATGGCGCTATGTTGAAAGTACCAACGTTTCAACTAAAACCTTAGCCACAGCAACGCTTGGCCGGTCTGCTAGTGTATATATATTATTATTATAATTCTACTGTACGAGTTAAGTCACTGAACTCCTCTTAAGTGGCTGAGCCCTGAATTCACAAATCAGCCCGGCAGATGGCGCTACAGTTGGTACTTTCATACTTTGTTTAATATCCTAATCGCTTGAAATATCATGCAGGACAACGTCTGTGGGGTACGCTAGTAATCTCATATAGACAAACTGTAACTAGCAGGATCTGAAGCCTTGGAAAATGTGTCTTATGCTAAAGTAAATTAAGGTTAAAGCACTTATTCAAATACACTGCAAAGCTTTGAATCGTGATATTTTTCTTGCCAACGTCTTAGAAAGTGGTTGGTGTTTGAAAATTAAACATTTAATTTTAGAAATAGAATGTTATTTATATCGTATCCAGGATCTCTGATTCAATTTAAAAATTCCTTCATCATTACTAAACATTTTTTTTTTCACTTTTAGGATGTAATAATGTTAGCTTTAAAATTTAATAAAATGTTAAATGGGAGGTTTTCATGTTTTGTTTCAAATTATTAATAAGAGACGAAAACGCGAGATCGGCCGGTCCTATTTGGTTTATATAAAAAGCTTCGAAAACGATAGACAAGAAAAATGTTGGGCCTGGAAGAGATCACTAGAAAGCGATAAGGCCGTTAAGTTGCCCTCCTTTTCATTTAAATATGTCAATTGTATTATGTTTGTGCAACGAAGTGTTAATAAATACATAAATAAATGTTGCTCACATTATTGTCCGAATCTATAGGTTGATTTAAAGATTTGCTAAATTATTAGAAACTTTAAAAAATTTAAGGTTTCAATTTAGAAGAGCTCTTTTTATTTCTAACAAAAAAGTAGGTCACCATACCTCTGAACTTTCTCTCGAAGATATGTCGCTAGCTCTCCCCCAAGATGTACTATTTATTGTTATACTAGATGCTATATTCAACATACCGATAAAAATCTCAAAAATAAATTAAAAACGTCTAATAAAACTGTAAATAAATATATAAAGAATGTATAAATCTCAAAAAAATATTTTTTGACCAATTGATGTCAACATTTGACGTTTAATTTATAATACAAAAAGTATTGTAACTTTCCTTGAATTTCATTCAGTTTGTAAAAAAAATTTGGATGTCTGTGGAATAGAATTTAATTTGCTTTTCCATAAAAAGGTAAAAACTTTACTGCGCTACCTAAAAGCCAGAAATGTTTTATTTATTATTTTGATAAATACATTTAAGATTATTAAATAAGCAGTTTTTCAAAGATTCTTATATTATTTAAGACGTAGGAATATTATTTATATGAAATAAATTAGTCATATACTTATTTTTTTTATTTCGGTCATATTCACTATTCAATTGTTTATAACAAGGTATAATACACAGCGCCTACATTAATCTTAAATATTTAAGATTTAATTAGAATCCTATGTATAAAAATCAGTACATATATACATTTCATTACTCCTCTGTAACTGTTAATATTTACAAATTCAAAATATTCCTTAACAAAAGACAGAATTATTTATAATACTTCAATTGAGATATTGCAACACGTCTATATATTTAAATAGTTAGTTAACAATAACCAATGTTTAATAAATAAATACTTTACATTTGAAAATCTCGTGAATTTTTAACTCACTGATGTCTATTGTATAGATGAGAGAAAGTAAACAAAAGAATGAAAATAGAAAAGTAAGAAGAATACATCAGCGAATTCAACTAAATCATGAATATAATACTCAAACTTATAATATTAAATAAGACTTTCATCATATAGATGCTTAAAATAACGTTTAAATAAAAAATTATGGGCGATCCTTCGATATAAAACATAGATCTTTTCATTTTCGCGCCTAAATGGAACAGTAGAAATTAGGGGCAGGACAAACAATTTGGGCACACCCATAGACAGAATATGCTATGAGACAATTGTCATTTACGTACGGCATGCGTCAAGATATTCTAAAATAATAAATACTGGCCACAAATAAACCGTGTTTAGAAGTTTCAGTATTATAAATTAAAAATAAATTTCTTCTAGTCATTTTGACATTGACACATGCTTATGACATTACGTTGTCGTGTGTTGACCCTGTTCGGTGTTGTGTGTGTAATTGAGCTCAAATTAAATGCGAGCTCGTCGAACCGCCATCACTTGCTTGAAGATGGCTGTCCGCGTTCTGAAAAGGTTATGAAAAAAAAATGATTTTTTCTTCACTCGGCATAATTACGATGACATCTCAACCTTTTATTAAAACCGGTTTAGAGCTAAGATTAAAATAGAACACAGAGGGGCATTTGAAACCCTGATTCAATGTTTAAAAGAATTATAATACACTTACTGTACTTCCGCAGTGCCTCTTCTCTCTCCTGGGAGTCGAAATACCATAGCGTGATAGCATATCTGAAAATAAAACGAAGGAAGATAAAACAGACCGTCCGTTTCGACCAATTAACTTTTCATTTATAAATATCCAGATGGTTGAGAATGTAAAACGAAACACAAAGCCATAGTGCATTCCGTTCGATTGTGATTGGTCAACCCCTTCTCTAGTCTATTACGCATTCACACGCGACAAGAAACGTCATGTTATTTCGTCCGTTTGACCTATCAAATCGACCAACGTTTCGTTTTTACATTCTCACCAGTCAGTACTTTTACGCTAATCGCCTTAAAAACTTTTCGTTAAAAATAGTATAATGTAATCTGTGTAAAACTATTTGATTTTCTAAAAATAATTAAATGACTCCAAAATATGCTTTGTATCCTTTAAAAGCTCGGAAAGTACTAAAATTTAGGGCTTCTTAATAACTTTTTATCAAAAATTTATAATTAAAAAAATATTTCTGTAGACTATATAAAGCATAGATTTTTTTATTACATTTTATTGAATTTAATGAAACACTTCAAAATACGCTTCTGTTTTACAGTTTGTGGTAACTCTTAAGCTATGACTCCTATGTACATAAAAAAGTGCGTGCGTACAAAGTACACGTCATGTCCGAAGTTATTATTAGGTGCGGTAAAGGCCCCTATAGATGATCATGTACCAGTATATGATCACTCCATGTATTTTTATATCTATATTCACACTGTTTACACACTGTAGGTATACGTACTAATGATAAAATAATCTGCGTTTACTGCACAAGACGTTATGCAATACGTCACGTTGCCATCTAAAGTTCTAATATGTAACTACTAAAAGAATAATTTAACCAATAGCGTGTATTTTTTCTCGATCTCCCTTTCTCTTTCTCTCAATCTTTCTCACTAGCTAGCTCTCTCCCACCTCTCGCTCCATGGCACTGTGCGTGATGCAACGTTCGCTCTATCTCACTCGATCTTTCCCACTTGCTTGCTCTCTACTCTCCCCCCCCCCCCCCCTCTTTTTCTTGAAAAATCACATCTTCGTGACGCTTATATTTTGACAATCAGAAGGTTTACTAATTTCTTTACCAATATTGCTCACTTTTATCAAAAAAGGTTCAAGGTCCACGTTAAACCGGCTTGGTTAAATACTAAAATATATGGGTAATTTTTAAAATCACTTAAACAAACAGCTATATATGTAATTATTGTGAATGTGGTAATGTTGTGTCGTCGTATATATCCACGTTTTCAGCAGCAAGATAATTACCTCGTTGCGTAGGCCGGTTGCACTTCGTGTGGATTCCGCCTGTCTGACCAGAAAAACAGCATTCTATCGAATATCGGCGCTATGTCCGCAACTTGATTTGTACCTTCAGGAAATACCCTGCAAAATATATAACGTTCACAAAAAACCGAATCCTTCATGTATATGATTGCATCATCCAATGCTCTGTAGTCTTTGATTTATGGACAACAGACTACTTGCTCTTGGCCAGAGTTGCGCCAAAGTGCTTGTGACTTGGGTCTGGAAGCTTAAGTAAAAATCAATTTCAAAAACGATTTAACAATCGTAAATAATAATCTCGAAAAAAAATCACGGCCCATTAAAACAAGACCGTCTATGTATCTCTTGTATAATCTGTATTCATATGCTAATTAAGAAAAAATATTATATACCTAAGCAAACCCCCGCATCGCTTAACGTCCCAGTCGAGATTCAGATAGTATATGGCAGTGATGCACCGGCCATCTTTGTTTGGATTATCCACGTGCTTCACGTAATGGCTGCCCGAGCCGGGGTAACATGCCACCATTGCCTGAAAAGAAATTATAAGTGTTGAAATGAGTTTCCCTTGATACGCTTGAAATTTCTGTAAACATTGACTAACAAAGAATGCTTAACATTGTTTTTATAACTTTATAAAGCAATGGCGATCCGCCGGTTAACATCATAGTTTTCCGGGAAACGCTACATCATTTTAATATTCTCATATATTTATCCACACTTCTCACAGTGTAGTAAAATACAAAGTTCTTATATAATGTGACTCTCAGTCGGTCCCAATCGCTTTCTCCATTTTCTTCGAAAAAAACGTTGCACATCTTCGTGACGTTTCGTAAAAATTTAACCCTCATGTGCCTGAAGAAGTTTCACTTCAATTTTGTTTTTGATTATTTTTATTAATTTTCGACACTTAATATTTTAATGACAATTAAATTCATTAAATTCCTAACATATCTTCCTTTTTCCCTATCTTTAAGTCTCGGAAATCTAAAGTTTTAGATTTGTATAAATATGAACAAGAGTTAAAAAATGTGTACTTCGTACGCACTTTTTTTATTTATTTCGTTAGTCCTAGCTAACATAAATTATATGGAATAAATAAAATAAAAAAATATATATATATATATAAAAAAACAATAATACTAAAGACATAGCCAAAGATGGAATACGTCATATTTACAAAAAGGTTCAAACATTTATAAAAGAAAAAAATCAATAAAAATTATTCAATTATTTAACTGATTATATCGTCTGTTGTGTGATCTTGTGAAAGTGAGGGTGTGTGTGGGGTGTGTGAAATATAATTAGACATTTGCATGCTAGTTTAATATGGACCATTGCGCAGGTTTTTATTATCCATCATCATATTAAATTTTTTTATCATCCATATTTAAATGTAACACTAAATATAACATATTATGCTGATATGATTCAACAACGCTTTCAACATAGAAATGTATCTATAATTGATTATAAAATATAAGGGAAATCCCAGCAAACCTACATAACAAACTAGTTGAAGGACCTGATGTAATTGTCTCTGACTCATTGAACATTTTCCTCATTCGCTATTGCAAGCATTCTTGTTTACATATTGCACTGTAGTAGTTAGGTGCAACCTTTCAAATCTTTAAGGAAAGACAAAAATCGAAATATCGATTTTGAAGGTAACCAAGAGTATTTTTTTTGGGACAAAGGAACAGCGTGGTAGTGAAAACTAATATTGCCAATAGCAACCTCGATCTAAATTACAAGATTTTGTCTGTCCAAAGGTCCAACATCAGTGCATATTGCGAGAATTACATCCAATTTTCATACATAAACGTTTAATAGAAGTTACAGGACGGGCGCAGGGATACAGCCTTCGTTTAAAGGAAAAACGACTAGTGTAATGCACAAAACCTTTTAATTTTTAGTCTCATTAACCACAGGATTATGTAGACTAGCCAGCTGTTAGGGAGAGAAAACTGATTTTTTTATGTTGCTCTGTTATAATATCATCTTTGTAAACAATATTTTAAAATACACTCAAAAGAACGAAAACCACGGAATCAATCTCTAAGATAAACTAGTTATGATTGGTGAGGTTCCATTGTATTATTTGATTTATTTCATCATAGACGCTTTTAAGAGCAAAGGTTTTAAGGTAATCCAAGTTTAATTTTATAATTTCCGTGCATGATATGTCAATCGTGGTCTAAATTTTATATCATTCCCGAAATAGATGACAGTCGATTTGTTTCATTGGAGGAAACACGACATTGTTTTAACTAGGTACATTTGTGTGGGGCTAATGATTCAAAGCATTACATATTCGATTTTTTTATACAGTGGGCAAACGGGCAAGAGTCCCGATGTTAAGTGATACCGCGACCTATGGGCACTCTCAATACCAGAGGGCTCGCAAATGCATTGCCGGCTTTTAAGAATTGGTAAGCTCTTTTCTTGAACGACCTTAAGTTGAATTGGTTCGGAAATACTTCAGTGAGCAGCTAGTTCCACATAGTGTGCTGCGCGGCAACAATTGCCAAATGCTCAGTTGTGGAAAGACGGACGTCGAGGTGATACATTAAACTTATAGATAAATTTCACTATTAAACTTCAATGATCAACATATTTATAGTTGTTTTACAAAATGGTAACGCCGCGCCGTCGCCGCTGTGCTTCAAAAATGGGATGCGGAAGAATCGCAAAACTGTATAGTGAACATGAAACAAGATGTTATATGTTCACTATGTCGACTTAGGGTCCTTCAAGAACAGAACGTACCAATTCATAAAAGGCCGGCAACGCACTTGCAAGCCTACTACTGTGTGACTTATGAGTGCAATATCACTTAACATCAGATGAGCCTTCTGCCCATTTGTCACCTGTTCTATAAAAAAACTAAACAGATAATTGTATGACGCAACTTAATTATGGAATACACCATACTGGGCTAGCCTTTGACAAATTAGAAGGCCATTTTAATATTGGACGCATGTGAAATGAGGTCAAGTAAACGCATTGAGCGCGAGCGCATTTTCAAGTGCAATGCCAAATGCATTGACCCACAACAGAGAGAACTCAGCTGACATTATTTTATTATTTCCGGGCTACTTGTTGGAATGTTGTTGGATGGAAAATTTTACATTTATACATGTAGCTTCCGGCAACTTCGTTTTTGCCTAGACTTCTTTAAGATATAACGATCATATTTAGATCAGGTTACAGAAAAGCTCTTCGTATCTCATTGTATACGGACACTCAAGTTTTTTATCCTTCTTTTTAAAAGTTTTCTGTTCCTAATTTTAGTACGAATGAACTTTTCCGAAAACATATAGAAAATTAGCCATATTTATATACAATAATTTAGTTAGCCGTTCATATTTCTGTAGAAATGATTTGTAAAACTAAAATTACTTAAAATATGTTCTTGTAATGTATTATAACTCAAACTATTTATTTTTCTTTTTTTAAATCCATTTAATTAAAAAAAATCAACACTGCATCATTCGGATAATCAATTAACTCATCTAGTTATTGCTATTTTATCATTAATATGAAACAATAACATAATTATACGTGTCCGAGGTTTTTGCCCTTCGCCGGTTATTAATAGCTACTAATGATATCAGCTGTGTAGATCAACTCAGCAAATATTACTTTTTTTCATATCTGCCAATATGCGAAATTTGGGAACATCTCGATATTGAATTCAGATCGCCATCGCTATTGTAAGTTACAGAATACCGACAAATGGCACTGTCATTTAAACCACCGTAGGTTTGGCTCTAGGTTTCTGTTTATTGAGACCATTGAAAAATATTAATGAAGCCAGGACAAAAACATAAACACGAAAAAAATTTATGTGAAATAATACTGCCTTGTTCAATAGTTAATTATTGCAATAAACTGGCACATTTTTAAACCGGTGATTTAAAATCCATTTGAAAGCTTTATCCACGTGTGAAATCCCTATTAATCACAATGACTGTTTTATAAATAGAAATCAAAACGTATAAGTGTAAACGATTTTACATAGGTTTGTAAACAAAACGTGGTCTCGTAGCCATGCTACAACGCGGTAATGTTTACACAGCCCCCTCACGCCGACCCCGAACCCCGCGAGAGCCGCCATGCCGCTGATCACGTACGCCGTAGGATTCAATGCGCATGCGCCCACTAGGGACGTAACGTTTATAACTAATCGATTTTTGACAGCTGAAACGATTATTTAACAATGAATTTATGTTTCCCTTACGCCCTCCATAGTGTATGCGACCTATTATATCAAACTACACAATATATATTTATAATGTTGATTTAACGCAACTAAACCTATCGAAAAAAGATAAAGTTTTATCGATTTTACTTTGCTTTGCTAATCGAATTCTACTTTATCTTCGATACATCTTCAAATACACGTTAAGCATGCAATATTCTTCTAATCCCCTAGGATAATGTCGTTCTCAAGAAAATAACTGAATATTATAAGTTCAACAGTTTTTAGTATTTGCGTACTGTGGGTATTATGAGACGCTGAAAGTTAGTCACCTACCTAATTAATACATATTAAACTGAGCGTTTTTGAACGAAAATGACAAAATAAATATGAACTTTATATTATTTGCTTTGTAAGGCCACATCTCTTCTGAGTTCTCATACTTTGCCAATTATATACTTTAGGTTATTTAAGCGATGACGTATTTGGCTTAGGACAGTACTGAAAATGTCTCCTTTCCGAAGCCACGTCACATTTCGTGTCGCAGTGCCAGCGGGCTGAGATATGTGCAAGACATTTTTTTTTAATAAATAAGAATTAGGACGATTTTGCATAGTACTTTGGAATTTATCAGACCTAATTGTTTATTATCAAACTACAATTCTAAGCCTGCGATATCCGCACTTGGCACTGATAACGAATCGCAAATAGAAATAGAGCTGTCTTAACGCGAAATTTTCATAGTTGTAGCGCCCGTCAAATATCAATTTGTATATACAAAGAACCGGTCGTTATTGGAGATAAAGAAAACAGCATTTACCTAGACTAGAATTATTTAAAAAAAACGGTTTTAAAATTTGCTTGGTATAATAACAAAATTAAATAATTAGTTTAAATTATAAGGAGCTGTTCTTGTAGGTAATTAATAAGTAGCATATAACTAAATATTGGGAGTGAGAACGGCGATATTCCTTTGAAATTCTTGAAACACTCGACAGTAGGAATGCCTAATTTAATAATAGATGGATATGAGTCAGTCATTTGTAACGAAGGTTTTTCTTAGCCATACAACAGGGCATCGAAATCGTTGGTTACCTCCAGTTTATTTTGCCTTGAGGACCTCAAACAGCTACCTTTACTACCACTAAACTATTCAAAGTAGCATATGCGAATATCATATCGTTATATGCGAATCGTATTTTATTTAAAATAATTTATTTACAAAAAATTAATTAATTTATTTATGTGGTACAAAAATATTATGGTCTAAACTAAACTTCGCATATTCTGCCACACATAATAGCGAGCAAATTTGTCAATTACATAGCATTATACATCATATCATAGTCAATACTTATAATATTTTATCACTACATCATCACATTATTAAAATATATTTTTACACTAGTGGACCCCACAGACGTTTTCCCCTGCATGATATTTAAAGCGATTAGGATATTAAGCAAAGTATGAAAGTACCGACTGCAGTGCCATTTGCGGGGCTGATTTGTGAATCTAAACCATTCCCAGATCCCCTTGAACACACACAAAAAATTTCATCAAAATCGGTCCAGTCGTTTGAGAGAAGTTCAGTGACATACACACTCACAGAAGAATTATATATATAAAGATTATCAAATTAATATTAAATATAATGTTTCACGTGTTACGTATAAGAAGTTAAATACACATTGTATATAATGTAAAAATCAAAATAATACGATACAATGGTAACTTGTGGTTCAAGTTAGTACTATGAACGATCGATGTTATCAAAGGACAGACATTTATAATATTTAGCGACAGTTATACTAAGTTTAAACTTGGATAATGATTTCCCTAAGGGCAATAATCACTGTTTACTAATAAGGAATGTATGTGATTTTCTATACTTGTATTATAAAGAGGTAAAGTTTGAGGTTTTAGGGGGTTATCTCTGGATATACTAAACCGTTTTTCGAACTAATAACGTAACTTATGTACAGCTATATATTACCCGAAAAATTAAAAGACTTTCGTAGATTTGTTAAGTCGGAGAAAAACGGTCAAACGGAAACGATTTGTTACAAACGCTACCTTAGTGATGAGAGAGTTCCAGAGTTCTAGTAATGCCTATAAAAAGTCAAAGTATAAACTTTTATATTATATAAAAATACGTCCTCCAATCAAGTAGTCTGTTCGCAATAACTACTGCACTATAACTTTACAAGGTCTACTCTACAGGTCATAGCCGCCCAAAGCCGGGACGAGTCCCTAGTATTTAATAAGTATAAGATAATACCTATATATAATTCTTAAAATTGTTTTCGTTCATATTCAGGATATAATAATATTGTAATGGAGTACTAATAACTGATCCCATCCTTAAGTCAAGTCTACAGTTTTCCAGTACATACATAACACTACGAGTAACGCGCTTGTCAATAAAGTACTAAGTAGCAACTTCTCACCTTCGTTCTTCCATTGATGATGTAGTTCCCCATCTTGCCATTATTAACCATTTTGTTCGCTTTGAGAATTATATTATCCACCTGAAATACATGAATAATACAATTAAAATATCAAAATTTAATAACAATATTAGTCCGTTTATATAAAATAACTTAACGGTTAAAAATCCCGCAATTCTTTTTTTATAAACATCATCTTGCCAGAATGCGAAGGACAATATTGTCTATGGACGGCCCAATGACGATGGTATTGGCAAATTTAAATGTGGAACATAAGGTCAAATTTCTAGTACCTACTTTCTAACGGCCGTTATTATTATGTAGGTACCCTCTATGCAAAACGTTTGCAAAACTCAACATGGGTCATTAGAAACTGTCTTAATGCGTGAAAATTTTCTTATCTAATAAGCGGATTATCGTTTTTTTAAACGCTCGGTAGGTTGATTGACTCTAAATGGATTCTCTATTTTTATATTTTCTCTAAAGAAGAACTCTTGAAACACAGGTATTAAGGCCTATGACTTGCCAATTTTTTTCCCCGACTGTTTATTTCTCTCCAATAGCGCAATAGAGCCAATAGACTGCCGCTGGACTGGCCACATAGAGAGAAAGGGAGAGGATCGGAGTGTCAAGAAATCTGGGAACACCAATGGGTCGTCGGCCCGGATGCCGCTGAAGAGCTACTTGTGCGAGCTGATGTGCTGCTCGTAATACGGCCAGTATTACGAGCAGCAGCACAAGAATTTCGAAGGTGGCGTTCTCTTGCTTCGCCAAAGACTCGCTTGCGCCAGCGGAGTAAGTAAGTGAGTATTACTTCCTCTAGAGAACTCAGACTTTTTTATTACCGAGCAAAGTAGTGCTATATGATGAGCAATGGTCTTCCCATGCCACATGGTGTTATTTGATCTCTATTAAACATTCAAAAGTTTATTTGTATATTTGGTCTACGCATAAAACAGTAAACAAATACCAAACTGATGATTATTCAGTAATTTGAGATAAATGTACCGATATCAATAATGTCTGATAATACGGCGCCAGAGATTAGGTACGACGTTTGTCGATGGAATGTCTGTAGTACGATTCTACGAAATTGTATATTGTGCTCTGTCATATGTTACTTGTACGTTAAACTTATTAGAATGGCTCTAGCTTATATTGTTATCGGCCTTTGCGCCGAGTGTACGATGGCTATCTGATATGATTTTAATATCAAGTTAATTTTTAACGAAGTGCCAAAGCCTTTTTCGGAAATCTTTAATTTTTTTAACATGACAGGTCATACACTCCGAAGAGATTCCGATCATATCCCCAAGCAGGCGCTTGGATTGTAACCAAAAGCGGAAGCGTGGCCGTCCAAAGCAAACCTGGCGACGTACTGTTGCAGCTGAGGCAGAGAGAGTTTTGGAGCGAGGTGTAATATGAATCTCAAGATCGAACACGATGAAGGCTCACTGTGGGCTCCCTTTGCCCCATCCAGGGGTCATAGAAGATTAAGTCCAGTCCATAAACCTTTTCGTTCAAAAATAATCTGACTTTTATTTATTTATAAGACTTTTTTGTGTTTCTGTTATTTTATATTATAGCGAGGTAGATTACGCATAAAAAACTATTTTTTTACGCTCACGACCAAATATAAACGCACACCATGTAGGTCGTGTTTTTATGCTGACCAAATACTTTGGAGATTTCGCCTAACCGCAACCACACAAATAAGTGTCGTAATATTTTACAAAATATATTAATACTAAGTTATTTATGTATCTCTAACTACGTACTTATGGGATATAATAGAACTTATAAGATACGTTTAGTACGAATCACTTGAATAGATAATAGTAGATAATATTCTAAGATTTAGTTTGGACAATGTTACGATAAATGTGATTTTTTTTAAATAAAAACGTTAAAATCCAGTAATTTGGTACATAGTAAAAAGGGAAAACACCTTCTCTTCCTTCTTTCCCGGGCATAGAACCCACACATTCATCTCCAATCAAAATCAGTCATCTCACATTTATAGTTATGCTTTTCGTTAAGTTCATAATTGCAATTAAGCCGTAATATTCATAATAAGTAAATCCATATAATTAATTAAATTTTGACAATTGTTTAAGACGCAAAGCCAAATCATCTATTAAATTTTCATCTCAAAAAATTTGTTTTCTAGAAATTTTGAAATTCAATTAATTTAAAGATTTTGTTTGTACCTAGGAGACCTGTTTCGCACGCCCTTTGTTGGATGATACGTGACAGACCTCACACATTTCGAATATAATATTTTATGCGAACGATTTCCTTAATTGAATCATTTTGCAAGCGTTTATAAATAACAAATGCATTTTTCTTATAGGTAGACATTCAATGTTTGTATTAATTACTCGTTTTAAGCATTGGTGGTCTTAGTGCCTTACAACCCAATCCAGAAATTAATACCTGTCGAAGCATGGCGGCTTAAACGCAATGCACCATGCATTTAAAACATAAAATTTTCTGGTAAAAATTGCTTTGATGTATGTCAAATTCTAAAACAGAAATTGGAGCCATTGAAAATAAGGCCTCAAATTCATAACTTTACATACTTTATTAATATTAAACATGCATTTTATTGTTGGTTATATTTCTTATTTGAGAATTTCTTTTTTACTAAATACAAAAATAAATAAATTATGTTGTTGTTATACAAAATATATTATATTTTTATTTCAAGATAGTAGAAACTTTAAAAATAGCTTACTTGACTTATTAATTGTCCTATGTGATAACAGTGTTTCTCTTTGCCATCTATCCATGTTATCCTGTCGCTTCGAATGGTTTGAGCCTCTGTTCTGACAGGATTTGACACCAACTGACCTGCCTGTGAATATACAGATTATACCTACACAAAATTATAGCCAATTGTTCTAAAAATAAAATAAAATATTAATTTGTTATTGTATCTTCAAGTCATTTGATTAGGAGACATCATGTTAAGCGAGATTATGCAGTGACTAGAAAATTTGCCTCAGTGTAACATAAGGAAATTAATTTATAAAGCTATTACAGCAAATCAAAAATTTCACAAGTTTTTGGTAATAATTCACATTACAATATGATTTAATAATGTACTTTTAATTTTATAATGTGTAACTTTTTTATAATATATTATGCCATGCAATAGTGTAATTTTTTTTAAATGCATAGAGATTCTATTGGAAGAGTTAATACATATACTGTTGAATATTCAAATGGAAACAGTAAATAATAAACATACCTGTGTGTGTGTGTGTGTGTGTATTTAATATAAAAAAATAAATAAATTTAAAATATATATGGGTATTATGGTGAGGAAGAGAAGAAAGTTTCTAAGATAAACATGTAATTAAGTTATGGACATAATAAAAAGAAACAGATGGTCATAAATCATAATTAATTATTGAACCTTAAATTCCACTTACAGAGATTCTAATTACATATAGCATTCTAACAGTACTACAAGAAGTAAGGTGATATAATTAAGCAGATAACTTAATAATTTCACAGTCACAAAATCCTAATTAGGTAAGATATTGAGTTTCTAGTATAGAAAGAAAGTTTTCAATATGATTACCGGGTTGTTGAACAGATGGCGATAAGGATGCCCTTTGCACTATGTAATATTTATTGGAGTATTTTTATATGAATCATATGTGCAATAAGTGTAAATATTTTATATTAAAATAAAATATTATTAACTAATCTCACCTAACTATCAAATAATAATATAATTATATAAATAATATAATATATGTGAAGCACAAAACACTACATATTACTATGATATATTGTCAGGTATTATGTATTAGTTTGATAGTAGGCATGTGCAAAACAAATGAAGAATTATCAAAATTTATCTATTTCAAGATGTACAAATTATTATATTTTTAATAGAAGAATTAAAGATAATAGAATATTTAAATACTTACTGTAAATATTCCTGATCTGTACATATCTAAAACTTCTTGTAGAACTAAAAGTCCTCTTTCTTTACCAAGAAAGTTGTTTAAAACACACACGCCATACTGTGTCATGTCCCGTATCACCCTTTGACATATATCATAAGATGGGTCTGTTTGATCCATATAATAGCTATTCACCATATTGGAAAATGGTGCTGAGCTGCCTTTTAATGAAGCTTCTGGATACTCTTTAATTTTTGTTTGATGCTCTTGAGGTAGTTCAGGCATCTTTACATCATTCTTCACTGTAGACAACACATGTGCTGTTCCAGAAAACTCCACTGTGTTTAATTGCTGAGCTTTCTCACTTAAAATCTCTTGTTCTGATGAACCTTCATGTGTTATGGCACTTACTTTTGGCAAGTCTTTATTTGTATACACTACACTTGAGATTACACTATTTTTTAAAACTTCTTTTCTACTAAGGGCTTCGCTTTTAATTTTTAAACAGTTAGAGTCACTTATATTGTCAAGACTAGATTCACTACCCTCAATTTTCAAACTTTTACCAGTTGTCTTTTTCGTATGTCTACTTTCACTAGCCAACGTCTCTTCATTAGATTTGTGCGGTTTTTCTAATGTACTAATATTAAGATTCTCAGAAGTTGTTCTTTTTAGATCTTCAGAACTGACAGGCGGAAATTCGGCTACTATGCCGTTTCGAGAGCCTTGTTTTTGCAACTTGGGTGCGCACTTACTTTTATGTCTCCGCCAATCCTGTCGCTGATGTTCCGTATTACAATAATAAACGATTAAACAGCGAGCACATCTACGATGAGTTTGCTGTTTACAAACGGCGCAACAAGCCACTACGCCTGCTTGATTCATTCTGAATTTCTTATAATAATTTCACTATCTACGGACCGGCCCTTGAACAAAATGACAATTTGAAATTTTGAAACCTCGTGTCAAATTTTTTTCTTGAAAATTGACTTTATTGAAATGTCATAAGTTGACATATAATTGTATCAAAGACAACGAGTGAACTTTTTTTAGTATAGAAACTTGTCTTTACAGAGCAGGCGTGAAGCGCTGGCAATTCAAAATCAGGTTCATAAAAACAAAATATTTTGAATAATATTAGGTCCTTACATATGAAATTGGCGTTTTGTATGGGAGTAACAAAAAGTCGAATATTTTTAAATATAATAGGTATATTTAATTAATCAAAGTATGAACCATTGATTTCTATGCACTTTTGCCATCTCATAGGTAGTTCATTGATCCCTTTACTAAAAAAAACAGTCGGACGGGAATCAATAAAATCTGTGAAGGCGATTTGGACTGCCCCATCAGAGTTAAATTTTTTCCCTTGCAAGAAGTTGTCCAAATTTAGAAAAAAATGCTAATCTGTTGGAGCAAGGTCCGGGGAGTACGGAGGATGTCTTAGACATTCCAATTGAAGCTCTTCCAATTTGGTAGCCGTCTGTTGTGCAGTGCGTGGTCTAGCGTTGTCGTGAAGTAGCAGTGGCGTGGAGCGATTGACCAGCCTAGGTTGTTTAGCCGCTAGCTTTTCCATCATGGTTTGCAATTGCTGACAAAAGACATCAGCCGTAATAGTCTGGCCAGATTTGAGAAAACTGCAATAAACAATACCGGCACTAGTCCACCAAACGCTTACAAGTAGCTTTTTTGGGGTTAATTTTCGCTTGGTGCATGATTTGGCTGGCTGGCCAGGATCCAACCATTGCGCTGAGCGCTTCCGATTATCGTAAAGAATCCATTTTTCATCACAGGTAATGATTTGATTTAAAATACCTTCATTATTGTGCCGGTTCAGTAATGTAACGCAGCAGTCGAAGCGCGTTTTCCGGTTTGCTTCAGTCAATTCGTGAGGTATCTTTCAAGCTTTTTAATCTTCCCAATTTGCTTCAAGTGAATTAAAACAGTTTTATCACTAATACCGCAGCCTGCAGCTAACTCGGACGTGGCTTGCGATGGATCCGCTTCCACAATAGCCTTCAATACTTCATTATCAACTTGGGTCTCAGGCCGTCCACGGGGCTTGTTCTGCAGGTCGAAATTTCCAGAACGAAAACGTTGGAACCAAAAACGAACTGTGTTTTCTTTTGCAACATGACCGCCATACACATCATTCACCCTTCGAGTCGTTCCCGCAGCACTAGTGCCACGGCGGCACTCGTACTCGTAAATAATGCGATACTTTAAGTTTTCCATTTTGAAAAATGAGTGACGCAAACAGAAAAAAAACAGAAGAAAAAAACAAATGAATGACGGTCTCACAGAAAACCGGCGTGAAGTGATGCAATAAGTTCATCTTATTGTACTCGCGTTTCGTGCGGTGAGTGAGACTCCCGGAGCCCATCAATCCCCCCCATAAGTATGAAGATGCAGTTCAAACAGAGAACACCCCAGGGGGGTACCACACGTTTCCGCTGTGGAGAATCCCCCTCTGGGCGTCCATCATCGGAACAATTGGTATTCGATGGTGGATGCACAGGCTGCCCTTCGTATTCTGGGGGGGCAAAAACTGCGCTAAAAACTTATGTATTAATAGGTTTCGATCTCGGGGCAAACGGAAGCATTTACCTAAGGCAACCCCTTCCACGCTTACGGTGGACTTTACAAATGTTAGGGGGCTGAAAACTAACCTAAACGCGGTTCACTTTTACTTAGAAACTGCGAAGCCGGCCTTGTTCTTCCTTACTGAGACTCAGATGTCCTCCCCGGCTGATACTTTTTACCTCTCCTACCCGGGGTACAAATTGGAACATTCATTTGTGCCACGGGCGGGAGTTTGTGTGTACGTCAGGGAGGATATCTGTTCTCGTCGCCTCGGGACGCTTGAAGGAAGGGACCTATCTAACCTCTGGCTGCGCGTAGACTGCGATGACCATCCGCGATTCTATGCGTGCCTGTATAGGTCCCATAGCGGAAATGACGAAACTAACCGACTCATCGAGCACATTCAAACGGCTACAGATTCCCTGCTCGAAAGGGTTCCTACCGCTGAAATCGTGATACTTGGCGATTTTAACGCCCATCATGCCGATTGGCTTGGCTCTGATACCACCGATCACGCGGGAAGATCCTTTCACGACTTTGCTTTAGCCTACGACCTGACACAAATGGTCCCTGCGATTACGCGAATACCAGATGTTGATGGTCATAAACCCTCTTTGTTGGATCTTCTGCTGACTTCACATCCGGAGAACTATCAAGTCTCTGTTGACCCGCCATTGGGTTCATCAGATCATTGTGTGGTCCGGAGTACTGTGCCTTCTACGCGCCCTTCACGGCCCCGCTTTTTGGGTTGTCGCCGTATTTGGCACTACAAGTCAGCAGATTGGGACGGGATGCGGTCTTTCTTTGCGGCCTACCCTTGGGGGCCTATGTGCTTTTCGTCGGAAGCTCCAGATTCCGTCGCTGCCTCTGTCGCCGAAGTGGTTCTGCAGGGCATGGAACTCTTTATTCCATTTTCTGCGGTGCCGATTGGTGGCAAGTCTCAGCCCTGGTTTAAACGTTCTTGCAAGGCGGCCTCGTGCCGAAAGCGAGAATGCTTTAAGGCATGGGCGGAAGCGGCGAAATCTCGTGATGCCAATACCAGCGAAGTTAAAAAAGCATATAACTTAGCCTCCAGGTCCTTCAAACGGGAAATCACTAAGGCAAAGTCAGAGCACATTGCCAGATTTGGCGAGAGATTGGCCCAACTCCCTTCAGGGACTCGAGCCTTCTGGTCTCTTGCCAAAGCTGTCCAAGGGAATTTTTGTCAGCCCGCCATTCCACCACTGCGCAGGGAGGATGACTCGCTGGCCCACACTGCGAAGGAGAAGGCCGACCTTTTGGGCTGTCTCTTCGCGTCCAACTCGACTTTGGATGACCGAGGAAGATCACCACCGACCATTTCGCGGTGTGATTCTTCGATGCCGGAAATTACATTCCGGCAACGTGCTGTCCGCAAAGCACTATCTTCCTTGGACATTCATAAGTCGAGCGGGCCGGATGGTATCCCCCCAATTGTGCTGCGTACTTGTGCTCCTGAGTTGGCTCCGGTCTTAACGCGCCTTTTCCGGTACCTGTACTCGCTTGGCACTGTCCCGAAGTGCTGGAAAACCGCTTCGATACATCCGATCCTTAAAAAAGGCGATCGGTCTGATCCGTCCAACTATCGCCCAATAGCCATAACCTCCTTGTTCTCCAAAATAATGGAATCCATTGTTAATTGCCAGCTCTTGAGGTATCTAGAGGGCCACCAGCTGATTAGCGATTATCAGTACGGCTTTCGTCGTGGTCGTTCGGCTGGTGACCTTCTTGTATACCTTACACATAGATGGGCAGAGGCAATTGAGTCCAAGGGGGAGGCGCTAGCGGTTAGTTTGGTCATAGAGAAAGCCTTCGATCGGGTGTGGCACAGAGCACTGCTCTCGAAGCTCCCAGCCTATGGGCTACCCGAGAAATTATGCGATTGGATCTCCGGCTTTCTGGCCGATCGGAGCATCAAGGTCGTCATCGACGGAGCATGTTCCGACCTTAAACCCGTGAACGCGGGGGTCCCACAAGGCTGTGTTCTATCCCCGACCCTGTTTCTTCTGCATATCAATGATATGTTGCAACTTAGCAGCATTCATTGCTATGCGGATGACAGCACTGGGGATACTCTTTACACTGGCCGGGCAGGTATTTCTCGGGCAGTTGTCGATGAATACCGGAACAAACTTGTTTCTGAAGTCGAAACTCTACTACGTGGAGTCTCAGACTGGGGCAGACCTAGTCCAATTTAACCCCAAGAAGACACAAGTTTGCGCGTTTTCCGCTAAAAAAACACCCTTTGTCGCTACTCCTCTTTTCAAAAACACTCTTCTTAAAGCCACAGCCAGCATTGGAATACTTGGCGTTGACATATCGAACGACGTTCAGTTTCGCGGTCACTTGGAGGGAAAGGCTAAATTAGCCTCCAAAAAGCTTGGTGTGCTCAGCAAGGCGAGACGGTACTACACTCCGGGCCACCGCATGCAACTATATAAAGCGCAAATTCGGCCCCACATGGAGTACTGCTCTCACCTCTGGGCGGGGGCTCCCCAGTACCAGCTCCTTCCACTTGACCGTATTCAACGCAGAGCGGTTCGAATCGTCGACGACCAATCCCTCTCCGAGCGGCTTGATCCTTTGGCGTTGCGTAGAGATGTGGGGTCACTCTGCATCTTCTACCGCATTTACCATGGAGTAAAGTGTTCAGTGTTCAGAGGAGTTGTTCGGATTAATACCTGCAGCTGAGTTTCGTCATCGGACGTCGAGGCAGAGTACGAAATTCCACCCGTATCACCTCGACGTCCGCCGTTCCACAACTGAGCGTTTTTCAAGGCAGTTTATGCCGCGCACCACCACTTTGTGGAACCAGCTGCCCACTGAAGTATTTCCGAACCAATTAGATTTAGGGTCCTTCAAGAAAAGAGCGTACCAATTCTTGAAAGGCCGGCAACGCACTCGCGAGCCCTCTGGCATTGAGAGTGTCCATGGGCGGCGGTATCACTTAACATCAGGTGAGCCTCCTGCCCGTTTGCCCCCTGTTCTATGAAAAAAAAAAAGGTCATCGAAGCACAAATACATGAGTAAATAGCTGTACAAATTTGAATTTGGAATTCCTTACCAAAGAGTGATTAAAGTGGCCAGTACGAAATACGCCAATTTCATATGTAAGGACCTAATATTTTAGAAATCGTTCCAATAAACTAAATAGGAAAGGCGATAAAAAATAGTGAAAAATTTATTTTCCAAATTTTTATTTTACTTAATGGAACACAATAATATTAACACACTAAAGTACCTATTTTAAATTCTATAACAGATAAAACTCGTGCAAGTAAAATAAAACGAACATCAAGGTTGTCTGTAAAAATAAAGTAATTGTGAATATTATTATTACTGCATCATTTCCTTTTAAAGCAGTACCTATTTCAAATAAAACACTTAAAAAAAGTATTTAATAAACTTATTTTATTTACAATAAAACTAAATAGTTTAAGCATATAAAAACAAATTATGATGAATTGAAGAAAATAATGTTACATATTTTCTTAAATGTAATGTTAAAGCATTAAAATAGGTACATTTCTCTATATACGGTAGATCATACCATTTCTAGATTTAAGAACGTTTAAAATGTAATTAGCTTTAATAAAATACAATCAGATATTTATTGCTAAGAGCCACATAATAAATAATAGCGGACATCTTATTTCTATTACTTTATAAAGAAAATTTAACAGATATGGATTTTTCGAATTCTTATAATAGAGCATGAAAGATCTCCCAGTGAATCAGTCATCACTTATCACATTACTATTGGTATTAAAGTGACGACTATTAGTATTTAATTTTCATTACTTATAGTATATCTTTAATAATGTATTTACCACCATCTTAAAGTCTATACAAGGATTTCCTATACAAAGAGAAAATAAATTTTGTGTAAAGAGAAATAGACTAGATTAGTTAAACGCCAAGTCTTGCTCTATAAATATTCGAAGACTATTAAGAAATTTCAATATAGTTGAATCATTTCATTTTTAATTTATAATTGTTGTTAGAGGAAAACTTGACGAAACTACTTTAAGGGCGTAAGGACGTTCGTCGAAATAATCGAGTTTAACCGACGCACGCCGATTCGCTTATATAACTTACTCTAACTTATGTCTATAATACCAACACTTATTATAGCTTTCTCTGCAGCCTTTATTAAGTCATCCCTTATAATCAAATGGAAGATTGATACTAGCTTTGTGCCTAAAGTACAATGATGTGATATTTTCTGAAGACAAATACAAAATATAACTACATATTATTTTAAGGAAAATAAATTTTGATTTTTTGAAAATAAATCTAGACGAATATCTATTAGGTATGAAACAGCCAATTGGACCCTAAGATGCTTAAATCGTATTTGATAGGCACGAAGTCGATAGATTTTATCAATTAATATAAATACATTACATTGACTTAAAGCCTTTAAAAGTCTCTTAGGCTTGAAGCCAGTAAACTAACAATTTTATACTCTGGAATGGTCGTCATTGGTCGGAGGTGCATGAAGTACCCTAGCAAGTTCCGCCTTCTCGTCAGCTGAGAGGACATATACAGGTGGTGCTGCCGGTAGAAATCTTTCTGCTTTATGGGGTTCCCTTTGTAGTCGGGCTCGATATAACATTACAAGTACACAAAGGACGCTTATAATAAAGGCAGACGTAGCTGCCAGTACGATTAACGCTGTGTGATAAGATGTAGCTGCAGATACCTGAAAAATAGATATGATTAGGTAGAACAGGCTAGCTTCTGAATAGGTAAAAAAAATGCGGTATTCACTAGTTCTTTAAAAAGGAGATATTTTGGACTACGTACAGTTGATTCGCTTACAATCTCCCTCTGCATGGCAGGTGAAGGTGGTGTTGCAACTAGACGGTATTCGCTTCTTATAACATCAGCGCCAAGAACGCCATCACCTGATTTAAGGCCTTCCATTTTTTCTTGTTTCACCTAAATTATAGATAGATCTATGTAATTGTCAGATATTGCATAAAAATAAAAGTATATAGAATGCGGATACATACAGTCTAGTATTTCAACTGTAATTTTAATAAATAAATGATTATATAAGTTATTTGGTTACATATGTTTAATTTTTAACATACTTTATAATAAACAAAAATATTCTATTAAAACACAATTACCATAGATTCCAAATGGTATACTAAATCAGCTGATCTTGGGCCCGGCAACAAAGCACGCAACTTAATGGCGTTGCGTTCTTTTACGACTGTTACCGGAACCCGCGCGCCAAGAGACGTTAGATGGGAAGATAGCGTCGAACGAGCTCTTTCTCCAGCAGCACTGTCAGCTCCAATTAGTTCGAGTTCAAGGAGAGCAGACTCTATTTGTGTAATTTCTATAAAATTAAAAAAAATATATTAATAACCTCAAAAACCTTAGCCAAATAAACTCAATTTTCCTTTACAGCATATTATACATCTTACTTTTCATACCTATAGTATTATTATAATATCTATTTTGGTTGATGATAAAATGAGAAAAACTCATCCTATATAATATTGTAATACATACCACAAGGATCGGAATCAGGTAAGTCAGTTATTAAAGTATGTGAAGGCCGACGTTGTCCGGCCGCGTCGACACACCAACAACGACCACGCGAACATTGCCGGGGCGAAAATGATCCGTCTGACATGCATCTAGGATTCCAGCCCTCGCCACCTGTGAAAAAAGTTATAGTTGTCTATGGCTTATCTAATTTTAGCGGGAATCAAAAGTATTGTATATTTTTGATACTTGTGTAACTACTAACTCATCTACTGTGGATCTCAAAGTAATACATAATAACAATAATTTTATTTAAAAAGTGTAAATCATGCCATTGTATTAGTATTTTGCTTAAGATTTTCACAACACTTAAGAATTTAATAAAGAAAAAATTATTACCAAGACAAGACGGAATAGGGGTAAGAATGATAGTCTCTTTAGAGATAAAAGTAGAACAAACCATTATCTATTTCTTCCTGCATCATTTGACATTTGGTCTTAAAAACGGGTCGTTCTCTCACAACTATTGGTACATCTTTTTTCGTTGTCTGCGCAATCCTTGGTTCGACGGCCTCCGTTAGGACTGAAGTATCTTCAGATTCTGTGGAAGCTGGTTCGTCATTCTGGTCCAACAGCTCGTTGCTGTCAAAGTCTTCTATGTCGTCATTGAAGTCATCTATTCGATATGTTGTCATCTGTCGTATTAGCTCTTCTAGCACTGAAATTTAAAACGTCTACCTTAAACCGCATTAACGCAGGTTTCAATATTTTAAAACCAATCGTAATTGCCACGATTATTATATGTATAGTAAAGACATTTTTTTTAGAAAGGCAGAAACTATTAGCTGCTTTTTGTTTCAAATCAGTATATTCTTAACATAGGGAAGAGTCCATCAGAATGAATTCAGTACTTTCTGACATATCTCTGTATTCCTGGACCTGTACAATACCTAGGTAAAGTTTTTGACATTCTTTACATTTTTTTCCTCTTCAGTTCACAGTTATTAGATGTTGGTTAATTTTTTTTAATACTTTTATTATATATCTAATATGAAAATCACCTTCGTCAGCCCTTGCTCTTTCGTCAAGCGGATCTCGCCTAACCCACTTCCGGGCCTGCCGGAAGTTGCAGGTCGGCTTCGCGCCGCGCACTAATGACCCCTTTTGAGGCTCACCGCGACCGTTTACACACCAACATACATCTGAAAATAGGTTTTTACTATAAATTATAATTTCGAAAATGAAATTGCCAAGACCACCCATTTACGTCCTTTGTTTTCTTATATTTTTGTTTTTTTAATCTACTTTACGATGCCTCAGTCATAGTTATTTATGCTATAAAACGTTATATAAAAAAAATATAAACAAATATCTATACCAAAGTTATGCGATATACATAATATATAGTTATAGATATATGTATACGATTACAGAAATGTGATGTTTGGAGCGTTCTCTGTGTCCGTTTTTATTGATTTAAGATCTGAATCAATTGTTTCGCCGGGATGGAGGCCAGAAACTATAGCTTGGTAAGCCTAGGAGATAATGTTGGAATTTGTATGTCGTTTACAAATTCCTTTAGTAAACTTGAGAAAAATAAAATGCTATTTATCTCATATTATCACAAAAAAATTATGAATACTAACCAATATGTGACATGCACTGCACTGGTTCCCAAGCGCCAGACACGTCACACTTGGGTATGAAGGTGCCTTTGCCGAACTTTTGCGACGCCGCTTCGTTTTTCTCTCGTAGACGCTCGCATGGACTTAAAACTACATAAGGAAAATATATATGAACATCCTATTTCATTTTAAGAGCCGTTATCAAGCTGGTGAAGTTCCCATGCCGATTTGCTGCATAAGTATTAAATAAAACAAAACATCAACGTCTTATTGAGCTATTATAACTAAAGTACTTTTGCGTCTCTATCTGTCAAATTGTGTTAACGATGCGATGAAAAGAGACAGAATAATACGTAATATCAGACTGATTTATGTTTTACGAATAAGGGGTGAGTTATCAGGTAACTTTCAAACGATCGTGTATGTTCGTATATGAAGCAGATTTTGATTTGTATTGAACGGTCGTGGATTATTGTGGAACATGGTGTAATGGTTGCAGCTCCTTACAAACATTGTGTAAAACAAAAAACTAGGCGATTAAAAAGAGTGACGGAGAATGGATTGCCAGTTCTTCTCTTCTGTTCTACGCCCTTGGTTTGAGAACTGGCAGTAAATGTAAAATTAGAAATATATATTTCTTTTTTGACGTTCATAAGTGTACATTGTGTTACCTATATGAATAAATGATTTTGATTTGTCGAATTAAAAAGACTGGTCTGAATTTGATGACACATTAAAAAGGGTTTTGAAGTCTTGCCCGAAGCAAATTATTTCTATATTAAACAAAAAATCTATGGTCATGGTATAGACTAAAATATTACACGTTAAAGTTTATATGATATAAGTAAGTGAAACTGGTTATGCTTGGCCACACAAGTGATTCCACAATTGGGCCACGACAAATACATTTAACTAATAGAGTAATGCGTGTCTATGCGCACACCGATTGTATCACTATTTCTCTAAATGTTTAACATGCATGAATTTACATACGTTAGCTGGATTTATTTCTTCGATTCAATTAAGCACATAACAAGAACTCTTTCGATGTTATCTTACAACGCCACACTCTTATGAAATATTTTAAATTGTTAGTCAAATAAGCACAATGATAATGATCATTCATTATATACATTTCTAGTTTCCAACACCGTGTTAATATATATTATACATAAAAATATACTAAAACCATGCCTTTTTGTTCAATTAATTTAGGTCCAATCTTCTTTTGGCTATTTTTTTCTGGCTCTCCCTTCACTGTTATAAAGCATAGTACAGAATTAGGAAGGAATTGAAGAGTAAAACTAGATAGGTAGTACATATAAACAAATTATATAGCATAAAAAAGGTAAAAAGCAGAACAATGAAGGATAATATATTTATATATAACAAAAATAAATAGGTAAATAAATACGTATCGAATGAAATTAGAACTTTCAAAACAAATCCATCTTTCTTAATATATATGTCGCAGCCAACTAGTTTAACGCTAGGCCGCTAGTTAAACGGCGCTCTTAAGTTAAGAGGCTAGCCTGTTGATTGAACGGCTAATTAAGCTAGGTGGCTGCGACATATAGATATTGTTTCGGTATACAATATCCAAGTCGAAATAACCGAAACGTTTGACACTATAAATCATTTTATTAATAATCTCTAGTAGTAAGTATAAGCAATCAATTTTCAGGTATTATCGCTCCACTGACCTCGGAACTAAATAAATATTCATTAGCAAAGATTTTTTTAAATTGCACCATAATACAAAATCGGTATGACCACCTTAATAAGACATTTCTACACTTTTTTTGGGCTTACTATATTATTAAACTTACCAGGGCAGACTGCGTTACATTCTTCCTTAGTGCGGAAGTTATTGTGTGTGCCAGAGCAGCCGTTGTATTTGAATCTTTCGCACCGATTTCTCTCGTGATGGAAATACCATCTTGTCGCGTTCAAACCTTTGCCATCCGGACAATCTCCTTCGTCTTTGTTCTCGAAACATACAGTTCCTAAGGATAGAAAATTTGCATTTATAAAATTAAAAGTCATAGCGTATAACGAGAAATAGGTTCTATCTTAGTCGCAGCAGACGTGACGATGACCAAGGACTTGACACAACATCACTTTGATGATGACAGAAATACTAAGATCCAATATGACTCATAAAGAAAAATCAATAAAATAGACGCAGAACTGAGTATGTCCTATATTTGTAGTAGGTACTTTTAACAGTTAATAAAATATATCAATTTCTAATAACTGGTATTTGTCATTATAAAGGAAAAAGTATTAAATAATCCAGGAAATCTGAAAAAAGAGATTAGAAATATACTAATATTACTAAGAATATAACTAATTTTGATTGAATATATTCTTAAAAGCTGAGCTATGACTTTGATACTCACGTGGTTTAGGACAGCACACTGAAGGCCTAGAATCGTGGGGAGCGAAGCGACATGCATGAGTGGAAGGGCAGGCCGCAGCGCTAGGACCGCAGAGGAGGACTCCAGAACCATCGGGGGCTGATAAAGGTTCTCCCTCCGGGCATTGAGGGGATGGAGAACATCTGGCTAATGGCGGGCATGACTCTCCCTGTATTGACATATTGGTTTATATTACTTCATGCGATTCTCAACTGAAAATATAATAATAAACACACGAACCGTAGAGCAAAATTCGGCACAGAAGACCATGGATATAAACTTAAATATATAAAATAAATAAATACAAAAACTCAATAATTTAATTAAAATGATAAAAACAAACCAACCTCGCAATCCACTGGAACCAGGTCGCAGGTCTCATCATCCCTACACTTGGCTTCAGCGCAAGGGTCTCTGCAGGTGCAGGTGGGACATCCCCTGGCATCCAACACCCTCCCGTGGGTACACACGTCGTCGTGTTCGCAGTGGGGCAATGGACATTCGACTGGGGCATCACATGGTGGAGTGGAGTTTGATACGCGGGTTCCAGCTATCTGTAATGGGATGTTTGATGCTGCTATAATTTTTTTGATGATTTGACATTAAAACTTTAGTGGTACGTAATGAGACTGTCAAAGCGCTGACAAAAACATGTCAAAAATGGTTTAATAATCATTCAGAGGTTTAAATTTAATGCACATTATAATTGTTAATGACTACGACTCGATAATGTTTAGATTTGTATTCCAGTGTAAGTATTAAAAAAAACCATCCGTAATTATTTTAATCATAAATTTGGAAGTTCCTGACACACCCGGTTTCCTCGGATGACCACGTAAAGCTCTCGTGTCTGACGTCTCATCGTAATATGAGAGTTACATAATTAAGGGTATACTTGTGTCCCTGTCCCTAGCCAGTCTTAATAGAAAGAAGTCAGCTAAGCTGAATTGGCCTTAATAACATTATAATTATAATCTGTTTTGTTTGAAACAAACATTCCGAATCACGCATCGAATATCGGGATCAAATAAAAGTAATTTAAACAAATTAAAACGACTTCCAACACCTGTCAGCTGAGAAGAAATTAACGATTTATTTGATATATCTAAGTTACATAGAATTAAGATATTCTACTGAACCAATATCGATGAAAATTGGGTAATAATGTTGTTGAAATACACCTGACTTAAATCAAAACATCATCTTGATATATTGATTAGTACCCGAGAAATTTGTGGACAAACATAGATACACTTATATATTATCAACATCTCATTAAATTTGTCTAAATTGATACATTTTTGAAGGCGTTTAATAAATTTAAGATAAATCAATGACCTCGTTGCCCACAGTATCCACACACCAACAAGTTTTTTCAGAACCCCTGCATTGGACTCGTTCGTATGATCCATCCTCAGTACACTCCGGAACCCAGCTCCATACTGGGGGACTCCCACTTTCAGCTGATTTGTGTAAAGCTAGAGCTCTGAAAAAAAATAACAATTTTTTTTTTTCTTTTTAAAGACAATTCACACCAATTGACCTAGTCCCATGCTAAGCTGGTGAAGCTTGTGTTATGGGTACTAGGCAACGGATATACATACATATTATAGATAGATAGACATATAAATACATATTTGAACACCCAAGACCTAAGCACAACACCAAATGCTCATCACATCGATGTTCGTCTCAGCCGGGGATCGAACCCGGGACCCATGGATTCGCAGTCAGGGGTACTAACCACTAGACCAATGAGTCGTCAAATACAAATACAACTCAGTAATATATAATATTATCATTCGTTGCATGAACGTGACAGCAGTGCGGGCTGTGGTAAAAGCGCAGGAAACTAAACCGTGAGGTGATTTTTTATACCTCAGCATTTTAAAAAAAAGCGGAGAATTGATATTTAGACACGGTGACATATATCTTTTTTCCTTTTTAATTGTACCTCCCGTATATAGTTTGTTATATAGCCGTGCACCATTTATGTTCTTTATGTGATACCTTTTCCTCGTATGGTTATGGCTATACCAATATAAGATTTGTTATATTATTTTATGATTAATAAGACAACTGTTTTAGATAAAACGCGTTTAAGTACATTCGAGAACTTTCCTCCACCATGCGAAATCTGCCAAATTACGTGAGATATTCTGGATTAGTTGTGAAGCTATAATTGTTGTCCATATATGCGATTATTTTCATTCTACACACGCTACAGAGGTTTAAATCACAATTTTTTATTTCTGTTGACAACTTAAAATTACAATTAATATACTATCAATCACACATTTTCTACATTTCGAGCAGGATTTTATAAAAAATTATTGTATTCTATTTTGAATGTTTATTATTTTTTAAAACAAAAAACAATAACTTTCCTAATTTTTACATGAGTGACATTGAAAGTAAACCGAATAGTTGTTATTGCTTCACCCTTGGACACTCCCATACCATTTTCAAGTTGCTCAAAAATTTGAATATAACGCTTAGGTTTGTGTACGGTACTATTGATAGGTACCTTGAAGTCTCCAGTTTAGGACAAGAAAAGAACTCTGCCACCTCCCAAAACACCAGCAGTAATCAAAGCTATCAAGGCGCGGATAGTAAGAAATCCTGTCCAAAACAGAAGTTATGGATTTGCAGATGGGTGTCAGTAGGAAAACAGTAAAAAAGGTTTTAAATGAAGATCTTGGTCTACGAGCATACAAAAAAGAGTGGCACTTACTTAATGCTCTCTAAAACAATAAGGCTTAAGAGATCGCGGGTGTTGTTTAAGCGGTACCGAAAAACCACACCTATATCCTCTTTACACAAAAATTTTTCGATATTGAAGAGAATACAATAAACAGAATTATACAGTGTACGCTAGGAGTTCTGAAGAAGCTGAAAATAAAGTTCCAAGGGTCAACATGGACATCATCCATCATCAGTAATGGTTTGTTTTGGGAGTGTCCTATTACGGGCTAACTGAGGTTAATTTTTTTCGAAAAGGGGGTCAAAACCAGTGCTACATGTACCAAGAGACGGTTTTGTATCGCCTTGTCAAAGACACGTCCAGCACCCTATTTGCGGGACATCACTTCGTTTCCAGCAGGACTCTGCGTCTGCATACAAAGCCAAGACCACTAAAGCCTGGTTTGAGCGTCAAAACATCGTCTTAATTAGACATGAGGATTGGCCTTCCTCCAGTCCGGACCTTAATCCTTTGACCAGAAATTATGACAGGGCTTAGAGAGGAAGGTCTGTGATAAACCTCATGAAAATTTGGAGAATCTGAAGTCATCTTTAAAAAAACCAGTGACTGAAATCGACACGAATATGGTGCGTGCTGCGATAGACGACTGGCCGCGACGCTTAAGGGCCTGTATTAAAAATGAGGGAGGTTATTTCGAATATTTTTATGCTTTTTTATTCCTTAATTAATGTACTAAGAATTGATATATCACTCATTACAAACTGATCAGTACTTTTGTTTTTATCATTATTTCCATTTATGACAGAACTTTGGGACCGACTACGTACCTTCGCTGCTGACAAGCGGTATGATGCACGACAGTCGTGCAAGCTGTGCCGCATCCCGTCGCACAACATCTTTGATCTTCGCCGCATTCGTTGTCAGACCGACACGCCCATTCACACGCACCCGTCCATGGTACAAGGTATGGACATTGCCCGCTTTTGCGAGGGAGACCTATAAGATAAAATTAAAGATTATTATAATAGTGTTCTATTGCTTTGAATGTGGTATATGTGATGCTAACACAAATTCACAATCACAATCCAATTATAAGCCAATTTAAACAGCTAATGGCACCGTTTTAGCTAGAGTATTCTTGCCTCTTTTCATAACACCGTAAACACAATTTCACAGAAAGAGATAAATGATATATATAGTTAAAAGAGTGCAATTACTTATTTTATTTTTTATGAATAATTTTTTTTTGATAAATATACCATTTAAACTATTATAAGAAATAAAACCATATAACTTCACTGCAGAATAATAACATAACAATAACATTATATAAAATTAGTACTAAAATTTTAGAATTATACACTAACACACAAATAACATAAATAACATTAAAAAATACACGTCCTATCAGTAAGCCATCTTGGAAGTTAAAATTTTTAAGGTATGTCAACTGATGCGGAAGTGTTTTGCTGAGCATGGTTGCTTCTCTGCCTTTAGGCAAAAAGCACTCGAAAACGAGTTATAAGAAAAATGTAAGGCAGTTATATCCGATTAAGAATTTTGTGGTAAGTTCTTTATGAAGCTTAATAATGTGAGAAATATGTAATTAAATATACAGAATACTCACACGCTGGTACAGGCGGACAGTAATCGGCGTCACAGGCTACGTCAACGAGTGCGCAAGCCCGACCTTGAGGACATGTTACTCCCGCGCATGGATCGCGACACCGGCAAGTTGGGCACTTATTGGAACCAATCTCGAACCCATAGTCACAGCCCATACGGCAGGTTAGATCAAGACAGGACAGGTCTGAGCGAATTCTAGTGAAAGTAAATAATAATCATTAGAGGTCATATTGGGCACTCCATTCCAACCTGGTAATCTATTAAGTAATATACATATATCCAAATAACTTTCTTAATTCACAATGCCAGATTCGGAATTGTTTCTGGCTTTTAGATAACATTCACAGATAATTGTATTATTTCAACATTATCTATAATTAATATTCTGTTACACCTACTAAAGATGCTAAAGTGTTGGCAAGACCATTTTAAGCTTAATGAGTAATGAGCTACTTAGGTCAAGATTTTGTAGTAATAATTAAATACTAAATATAATTTTAAAAGCCTAAGTCTACTAGCGTAGCGTGTGTTACTTACTTCTCACAATCCAATGCCGATGAGTTGGTACTTGAAGTGTCAGGTATCTCAGTGCCGAAAGAGTCCACACACCAACACCTTCCTTGTGCACATTGTTGTGATGCAAAGGATCCGTCAGGTTTGCAGCTTGGCGCTGGTAAAGCCAGTTTCATGCCATCTACTGTACCCTCCATCTTCTCGTCGAAGTCACGTAGGTATTCACACACTATAAGAAATGATGATAGCAACAATTAGCTACTTTAGTTACATAATCCAATAAGATTATTTAATAAAACATTTGTAATTTTCCAAAATAAATTGTATTTATTAGTTCATCCCAAAAATTTAAGCTGCAACATGTAGTGTAGAAGTTGAATTCCTAAACCACATGTTGGTACGTTTTTCTTTCACGTTCCGTCCCAACACACAAATATTTGTTACCCGGGAAAATATATAGAGTTTACATACCATACAAATTACAACACGCCTTCCTGAGTACTGACTTCTCCGAACTCAGAGAAAGCATCTAATATAAAATTATACTAACTAGTTGGAATATCATCCAGTCTGTCTGTCTGTAGCCTGATTTTATCAGAGTCGATACAAATGGGTCCGCAATTTGAAGTTGAACAGCACAGCATTCCATCTTCACAGTTACCATCCAAACACGCGCTTGTTGAGTTAATACTGCACACGGCTTCAGCTTCAGCTCCACAGGTCTCGAAGTTAATCTAGTAAAAGTTATTTAATGCGTAAGGGCTTTCTTCGAAAGAACGTTGATGGGTGAAAATGTAAAACGAAAGACGCAACGATTCTGCGTTCCGTTGTTTTGCGATTTTGTCTAAACTCTAAAGTATCTCTAGTCCAATACGGGTTGATACGCCATGTTATTCGCTTTTAGTTCGTCCGTTAAACCGCCAACCGTTACGTTTTGCATCTTTCGTTACAGTTGAAACTTCTTGGTTTGGTTTTATGTAATATGAAACGGTTATTAGATCATTTATTTGTGTCAATTTTAATCCTATATTTTTACGTTTTTATTTTTATAATTAATTTATTGAATTTTAAAGACTTTCAGAAATTACAACACTGATACTCGTATGACGCAGATAAAGAAAACATACCTCAATAACTTCGCTCTCAGTTGAATTATCAGCTGTTACATCTGGACAGCAGACAGAACCGCCACTCCTTCTGGTCATAGAACAGATGTGACCAGAAGGACAGTCCTGCTCAGAGCCACAGGATATTACGGATCCATCCTCGTCGGTGATTGGGACTCCAACTTCGCACGGGTTTTCATACGATATCCTTGGTCGACCTGAATTAATTTAATACTAAATACCACTAGTTATTGCAACCTCCATGGGTCTTTTGCAATAATTTCGAATTGCAAAGTTTAAAAGACTGATAAAGTTTTCGCGTTTGGCAAATTGTCAACGAAACATGCGATGAGTTAATTAGTCATTGTGAAAAATTCTCAATTAAACTTTAAAAAAATCCGGCATTTATTTATACAATTTTTTCTGTTACGTTTTGAAGTTTTAAACAGTAAACATTTATTCATAAAATGTAAAGAATAAAAGTACAACTTACACACAGGATATCCAGTACAGAAATCACCCGTACAGTCCGCGTCCCTGACCCTCACACACTCTTCGTCGTCTCCACAAGGGTAGCCCGCGCAGGGGTCATCACATTCACAGGTCGGACATCCATCTGTACCAGTCTTGTATCCGTATTCACATACTCCTGCGCATAGTGACCTGGCGCAGGCATTAAGGCTCCTGGCTCCAGATCTTGCCGGACGGGGAGTAGCAGAACATTGGACGGACGCTGATGGCCCCATTGAACCTCGTAGTTTGTTACCCTCGGAGTCTACGCACCTGCAAACGTGTGTGTCAATATATCCCTCGTTCATAAAAACTAAATCAGTCAGTTGCACACTTCTTACTACAGTACTCTTTCGTCTCTTTCTGTTTAATTGTGTTTACACAGTGATGAAAAGAGTAAACTTTATTTAAGACGCTGCAATTAAACTGATTTATTTTTTATGTACAACTTTTATCGAGGGAGGAAGGAATGTTTGCTTATACCTTTAAAATATTGTTTACAGTAGATAGGACCACGCGTATAATGCGGGCAATAAATAAATAATAAAAGTTCCCGAGAAGAAATCGTTATTATATTGATACTAAGCTCAAAGATAAAATACGTAATGACGTAACAGTGGCTAATTATATTGCCTTGAATAAGTAATGGCTTTGAGTTCTCACCTAGTTCTACTAATACATATTAGAAATTATATAGTATATTAAAAGAAAAGTAGTTATAAAAGTTAAGTCCGTTAAATTAGACGACTCATTGGTCTAGTGGTTAGTACCCCTGACTGCGAATCCATGGTTCCCGAGTTCGATCCCCGGTTGAGACGAACATCGATGTGATGAGCATTTGGTGTTGTGCTTACGTCTTGGGTGTTTCAATATGTATTTATATGTCTATCTATCTATAATATGTATGTATATCCATTGCCTAATCCTAATTGTCCTAGCATGGGACTAGGTCAATTGGTGTGAATTGTCTTTAAAAAAAATTAAAAATAAGTAACTCAAGTTAAGGAGTTAGGATAAAATTACCAGCAAACTAATCCATTCCGTGAGCACTGCTTTGAAAAGAAGCTACCATCAGGCATACATTGAGGGACATATCCCCTGCCTTCCTTCTCGCTTACAACCAATAACTCTGCCAGCATCTTTTGCTGGGTGCACATCGTAACATTGTGTGGTAAAGTGCAATGACGTCCACACTCCCCTCCGTCACAGCACTTTTGCATTGAAGGACATTCGAGGTCATGAGCACATGGCGTGCTACAGTCCAACTCGTTGGTAGACGGAGCTGGACAAGTACCGGCTTTTTGTAGTTCTAAGGAAGCTGGGCAGCAGACGCCATAGTCGTTTCCTACAATAGCAAATAAAATTTGATTTTATGTAAAGATATCGTGTAGGAAGGAAGGTGCTGCTCTTCCTCCAACCTCAAGAATTCTCAACCAATCTAACCACTGACTGACCGGCCCAAAAGGCTAAGGTCGAGAACATTTATATCCTTGCAGTGGGAATAACTTTTTAGCGCGATTCACGGCGTCGTCGCAGCGATTTGTATACCAAGATGGCGCTACAACATCTAAAGACACATGATAAATTTTTATATCATAATAGTTTTAGCGAAAAATGTGATAATCGATAAATAGCCCTTTTAACGTAAAACTCGAATAACTAAATAGTCTTATTAAGTATATCCAATTAATCATATATGAGAAAAGTATTTGAAAATCCTTGAGCAGTGTTGGCCTAGTGGCTTCAGCGTGCGCTTCTCATCACTGAGGTCGTAGGTTCGATCCCGGACTGTGCACGAATGGACTTTCTTTGTATGTGCGTATTTAACATTCGCTCGAACAGTGAAGGAAAACATCGTGAGGAACAGTGGCGTAACTATACCATCTGGGGCCCGTGGCATATTCTTTTGATGGGGCCTTATCAGTAAAAATCGTCACGTTGTACTCAGTTTAATTTTAATAAAATTCGAGATTTTAAGCGTCCTCAATTACACGTTGTATATGTCCCACTAATGGCCATAGGCCTCCTCTCTTAGGCGAGAGGGAATGGTCTGTAGTCCCCACGCTAGCCCAATGCGTATTGGAAAAAAGTCGACGGCGTGTGTCAGGCACTGGAGGCTGATCACCTACTTGCCTATTAGATTTAAAAATGATCATGAAACAGATTCAGAAATCTGAGGCCCAGACCTAAAGAGGTTGTAGCACCACTGATTTATTTGTATATTTTTTTATTTGAACATCCTTAAGACTTTTTAATAAGACTTAATATTAGATAGGCATGCGTCAATCACAACAATAACTCCAATAGTGCTATTTACATTAATATTCTATTGTTTACATATTTGGTGAGCGGTAAAATAAAACAATGGTCGATTGATACCTGATTCAACCAAACATCGGTAGAGCGGGGGACAGTTCGGTTTTCCTGGATCGGTCCCGCAGAGGAAAGGCCTACTCGTTTCGGATATTAATAAAGGCTCTCCCACTGGGCAGATATTTTGGAGGCTTCGGCCTCTTTTACCTGAAAGTAAATAAAATATTTAAAACAAATCAAAATCATTCATTCATTTCGGTAACACAATGTACACTTATGAACGTCAAAAAGAAATATATAATAAATTCTTCTAATTTTACATTTAATGCCAGTTCTCAAATCAAGGTCGTAGAAGAACTGGCAATAAACTCTCCGCCACTCTTTTAAATCGCCAAGTTTTTTGTTTACACAATGTTTGTAAGGAGCTGCAACCATTACACCATGTTCCACATGACATCTTAAGTAATTAATAGTTAATTAATAATAATAAAATAATTTAAAAACAAATATTTGTCCTCTATCAGCAGGCAGTAAGTATCGTGTACCTGAACGGTAATAATTATTAGGAATCATAAAATATTGCACATAATTCACCTATTAACTATATCCAGTTGATATTCGACCTCTTCGATACAGGAATAAATAAATGATATTTAAAATAATTGCTCATTTATTTTGATTACGTAGTTTCAAGTTAATTTGAGTTCTACAATCAAAGGGTCAACAGCGACTAATTGCTCATTAAAAATTAGCTGAAATTGCGAAATCGTTCCAACTTCAAAGTTAATAGAATAATTAAATATTCACATTTGATTTACTTATATAAATGTCTAGTAATATTTATTATATACTAGTCTAAGTGATAGAACTTTAAGTTGTATGTCGAACAACGTTAAAAATTAAGATCTTTTTTTGTTAGTACTGAAAAATCCCTGGGGCAAAAATGTTATTGCAAATACCATTTATACATTTAAACATGTTCCACTTACAAGTAGGGACTGGCGGGCAGGGCGGGCGGAGACAGGGAGTCTCCTCCAGTTGGCAGGATAGAGATCCTGGACACGTGACAGATGAGCAGGGATCTCGGCATTTGCAGAGAGGGCAGCCTCGGGCGTCGAGTTCGAATCCAAGTGGGCAGAGCATACGGCAAGTATGGGCAGCGCATGATGCTGTACGAGTGCAGTTTACAAGAGCAGCCGCCGGCGCACGAGTCCCGGGAACCTATTCAAATTTTTTGTAAAAAAATATTTTTTGTACATCATTTGCACAAGACCGACGATATGTATTATTTTTTTATAAATAATTTACTATGTAGTAAAAATAAATTAAAAATTATAATTATATTAATAAAAATAATATTGTTTCCTATAAATACCCTTAATACTGACAACATTACGACTATTGCACTACTGAGATGTTGTGATTACTGATTTTATATCATCTTTGTTTTTCATTTCGCGTCTAACAACACAAAGGGAAAGGTGAAAAACAAATGTATTGTAAGACCCTCTTTGTTTCACTTACCTCAAATCCAGTAGGATCAACGCACCAGCAGGAGCTAACAATTTCATTATCACACTGAATCTCTTCGAATTCCCCATCCGCCGCTTTGCATCTAGGGGATCTCAGGGATTTTATCCTTCGTCCGCTTCGAGTATTTTCAACTGCCAGAGCGCGGGAAATCCGTTCTGATGACAGCTTTATGTTTTCACAACCTGTAATATATTTAAAGCTCTAAGCGATAAAGTTCGTCAGGTGGAATATTTTAACAACTGAAAGGAAAAACTTATAAAAATAAATAAATCTAGCAGAATTTTAACTTAAATACTAATGTCTCTTTCAATCACAGCGTCAAGATAGTTAGACAGAAGTGATGGAGTACAATTAGACATACAATACATGTACTCGTATATGCTACAGGTTCATATTATTTTTCACTAACAAATATAATAAAAAGCATCATGAATTTCTCTATTTAAACTTACATACCACCAATTTCAACTTAATGACCCACTAATTTAAATTTACATTAAATATATAGATTAATATCAATGCATAATACAAAGGCTATGTTGGCCCGTGCGACTCTCATCCATGAGGTCCTTGGTCCAACACTCCCTCGTACGGTGAAGGACAACATCGAGAAACCAGCATGTGTCAAATTCAAAAATCGACCTCATGTGTCAGACACAAAAACTGATCTACTACTTGTCTATGAAATAAAAATGATCAAAGAAACAGATCCAATCTGTGGCTAAGACCATATAGGATTGAAGCATTACAGGACTATTATAATTAGGAATAGACTACTACTGATAATAATCTTCTGCAATTTATAGCATGTATGTGGTTATCAGAACAATTTAGTTCACAGTGACGCTTTAGTTATGAGGGTTTTAGTATGCTGCGTTTGCTTTTGTCGAGTCTATTAATATTCATTGGACATAATTTACGGTTGCCCAAACACTAATAAGTTTCACCTTTGTAAATATCGTGGTTATGTTACATTTCCAATTAATATGATTGACAAAGCAAAAAACAAACCAGTGGCTCTACAAACTTTAAAGTCTGGGCTTCAGATTTCTGTGTCTATCATCATTTGTTTTTCTAATAGGAAAGTAGGTGATCAAACTTCTCTGCCTGACACACGGCGTCGACGTTTTTGTGTCTAAGGCATGTCCTCACGATGCTTTTACTTGACCGTACGAGCGAGTATTAACGTACATATACAGACCATTGATGCAGTGGGGTATCGAACCTACAACCTCGGGAATGAGAGACGCATACTGAAACCACCAGGCCGACACTGCTCATAAATTTATGAAAAACCCTCAAATTAAAAGCCTTTTTTCTTTCATACCTGACGTTATAACTCAACAAATAATTTATGATATTAACTACCGTTTATCCATGAAATGTTCTATCCTTTTTACTCTCGTATGAGTTTTAAACTAAAAATGAGACCAATACATAACTGTAGTAATAAACCTTAATTAACAATAATTAATTAATACTCTTTCCTGGAGGCAAACACTTTTTGGGTCGCAGATCAATCGTAGTGAGTCGCGGAGTATATATTTTGTACGATTTAATCCATATAGCATTATGAAATATCATCAATAATAATATGGACCGTGTGTCAACATTTAGTCTGTTATGTAAACATTGTTGGTAAATAATGAGTATTGGTAAGGAGTATTATTTCGAGCCCGGAGTTACGTAAGCCATAATCAAACAAGTGCAATGATCTGTGAAGCGAAAACAATCAATTATTTTAAACGTTCGCTTTTTGTATTATTAGATTTCACTTCTCATAATAAATAAAAATAATATAGAAATGTGTATACATACAATGCATTACAATGTGTTAGATTTGGGTCCTTTTTAAGTAAAAAATATCTGTGTCAGGGTTAATAGTTAATTCCATAACAAAGTTAATAATTTTTCCTTTGTTGTATCAAATACGTTTTTGATATTTATTAAAACTTCTTCAACAGTGCCGGCGATTTAGGATTTAGCGACGTGAAGTAATGACATGACGACTAATTACATAATTATTTTTTTATTGTTACATTTATAACTCCGCTGTGTCGGCACATAGTTTCTGTCTTTCGGAATAAGCAATATATTTCCAAAATTAGTTTATGTGAAGTTTTCCACCATTTTATCAAGAAGCTAAAACAATTAAGTCGTCTACATTTTGGTTGTTATTTGCCACGTATTGATCTAATTAATTTCACTAATGATTGATCTAGCTATGCTCAATTTATTTAAATTAATGATACATAGGTATTGCTTAAAAGGTCTAATTAATTTTATAATTGACGTTTCCAACGTTGCACTTTACCGCAATTAATAAACCAAAATTCAGTGTTTCTACATGAATTCATATTTGTGTCTTTGTCAAAATGTGTTAACGCGGTTTTGATATAGAACAGTGCTTTCATTAAAACAGCGTAATTGGACTGAAATTGTTTTAAATGGGTATAAACGTACTACACAATTCAAAGACATATTAAATGTTTTGATCTCATTACTATAGTTTCCCCCGGAGGAAGTTTTTCGCTTAAAGGCGAAGTACAAGATACGATTGGAAGAATCTAAGAGAGAGATAAAGGTACTTAAGAAGGTTCTTCTCGCCCGGTCTGATGCTAACGGAGGTTTTCAAATCATTTTGAAGCAAAACTTGGCGCGTATAGAAAATAGGCTTTTACCTAAAAAGAAATTGCCACCAATAGATTATGACGTTGGATCTTAGACCCCACCGGAGGGAACTACACGCCCAAGTAGTTGGGCGACTGTTGTATCGAGGAAAAAAGGTAAAAAGATCGAGCAACATGAGGCGGTCCCACCCAAAGGGTTGAGTGGAGAGGTGTTATACACTGTGCCACGGTTAGCAGCAGTACTGGAAGCTGTGGAAAATGGTGTTACGTATGCTAAGGTAAAGAACAAAACGAGATAGAGTGTAGCTTTACCTACGTTAGCAATAAGTCATATAAAAATCAAGCGGGCAGCAGCAGTTGGGCGTCTCCAGAAGATAAAGCACTCCCTATAGGGAAATTGTATTCGTTTTTACAACAAACACCCAAGCGAAATTAGAGAATTATCACTAAATAAATTCAAAGCTCTCGTTGAACGTAAATTAATCAATAAAGCTTTATTTTAATTTGACGAATATTTAACTGATCCTTGGGATTGATTTGCTACAGTTCAAACAATTTGTATGACTCAAAACTTGGCGATTAAAGAGTGGCGGAGAGTTCCTTGCCAGTTCTTCTTGCCCGCTCTACGGCCTTGACTTGCGAACTGGTAATAAATTTACATTTAGAATTAATTTAACTTCTTTTCTGACGTTCATAAGTGTATTTGTTTACGTATATGAAATATGAATAAAGTTATTTTGACTTTGACTTTAACTATATATTTTTACATATCTTGTATTTTTAATGTGTCTGTCATGTTTATTGATAAATAAATTAAACAACTACATAGCTAATCATAAACATCCGCCATCTTGTGTGAGTGTGTGTATAATAGGTGAGGCTTTCAGGCCAAGTGTTGCTGATGACAGCAACTAAAAGCTGAATTGGGCCCATTTTGATTTGTATTTTTGGTTTATATTCTTGCGTGTATTAATTTTAACTATTTACTTTCGTTCCTAATAAGTTCCGAGGTTTTTTAAATATTGACATTTAATTTCAACCCTGAATGCGGTTTAACAGTAAAAAAAATATTGTTAGTTGTTACGTTTATAGCTAAAGCGGTATTTATGTAAAGGTGCTAAAATTACCATATGTTGTTTTGTGTAAATGAAATACTAACCTGTATAAAGTGGGTCTACGCAGGCTTGTCCACATGACGTGTTGCAACAAATCTGTTCGCCACATTCATCATCATTGCTGCACGGTGTTGCTCTTGCTGGACATGAGCTCTCCTGAGCTGGACACCTTCCTCTTAGCTCGGCGCTTACTGTAACCATAGATAATACTGTATACTAGTACTGTATCGATATTATGTCAGGTAGTAGACGAAGTCACGCAATTTATTACTCAATGTGTAATTTACGTTATGAAGTTTGTAGCATTACCAAGCTAAAGAGTTTGTTTGAACGCGCTAATCTTAGGGACCATTGTTTTGAATATAAAAATGATTTGTGTGTTATTATGACTATAACTTGGTACGAAAGAATTTCTGCGGTTAAAAGCCCGGTTAACAGTTTGACCAAATAATATTATTGAAATAAAAATTAAAGAGGTTATAAATATAAATGATAAGTTCAGTAATTATTTATGTTATAATAAGTATATAACCACAGTAGTAGATTACGGTAGCGAAGTTTTAAGTAGAGCCTAGATAATTCATCAAGAATGTTACCTTGCTGGAAGCAGAGCAAGACAGCGCAGAGCAGCGCCGTCCTCACCGCTGTCGACATCGCTGCATCACACAGACGAAATCTGAAAAAAATATATCCATTTTAACAATCAATATTTATAATTATAAGTTCTTTACATCTTTTACATTACTATTAAGAGAAGCCCTTTTGCTAGTTGACGGTGAATCAGCCCGTGGTTTTTTTAATAAATTAAGAATTTAGTTGTATCTATCTGCATCGTACAATTGATGTAATTTGTTTTATTTATTTAATTAAACAACATACAAACAGTTGACAATGCACAAATAATGCTAATACCGAAAAATACTCACTAAAAACAACACATTTTACAATACAAAAAATATATAAAACACACATTAATCAAAAAACTGAGAAAAAACAACAGACACACCAGGTATATAAACGATCAAACTAAACAACAGTTCCACTAAACATACATTACAAATTTGCTTAAATCCTTCTTGATATTGTTATAGAGTTCCAGATGACAATAACATAAGTAGATATCAAAAACGTACCTGACGATTTACCATCGATGAATTTACGTTTGCCTAATGGCATTCCTAGGTTTACGTCCTTGTAAAAACTAATAATTATTATTCTAGTCATGTCTGAATAAGCCATTACGCAGTACATTTGAGTCGCTAAACCTAAAGCAGGTAGCCTTGTAACACTCCAGACAATTGCGACTCATCTTGAGAAATACATTACCCAATAGTCACTAAGGGCTAAGGGTAATAATAATAATAATATAATAAAGCCCGTTTTATTTCCAATCATGCCAAAAACAAATTATAATATACAGCTTAGATTATATTACATTTTTATTAAAAAAAATCGGTTGTCTGTAAAGTCGGTTTACTGACGATAGTTTAACGTGACAACGTCATAAGAAAATACTTATGGAATGGATGCATTTTTCAAAAGAAAACTTTAATTTTATTTGTTTGATATATATTTTGTATGGATATAGAGAAGGAGGTAAATGGAAATCACAATTGAATTGATCTAGTTACATTTAATTGTACGTATAAATACAATTATGTCAATCCGATTGTGCCTCTTTGTCGCTCGTTTCGCGCTCTCGCTTGCACTTCAAGCCTTAAATGGAACGCCTCAGAGCGAGGTAACGCCGCATGTGTCATGTTTTTTCGTGCGTGCAGACGGCTCCATCGAATTATAAGACTAAAATTTTCTTTTGCTTGTTATCAGGGCTAAGAGTAAGTCAAACGTAAATACGAGATAAATTCAAGATTTTCCGCTTTAGGAACTTTGAATTTTTTGTTCAAGATTGTGACTTGTGACCCGAAATAAACGAATTGTGCTCGGAAAATACCTACACCTGTTTGTCTGATAATTTTTGTTTTACGAGCCTTTTGTCCATTTAACAATTATTGTTTCGCCGGAAATTGCCCCCAAGATTAGACGGTTAAGAAGCGGTCCTACTACAGGTTATGGTTTTCATTCATTTACAGCGTTGGTTAAACATTCCTCATTATCTAAGTTTCCGGTGCCGTTTGTCATAAAGGCTTTACAAAATACTGTTTTGGTATAATTTATTTAAGAACAAAGCTTATTGTGTAAATGCAAATCACGTGTTAGTAATTATAATTATTTAGATCATAAAAGTGATTGTATTCAGAACGTATGGCCTCGTCTTGGATTTCTTTCCCAAGTACTAGATACATAATTACATTTACTAAAGAAATATCTTTTTAAATGTATGATTAACGTGACCAGACGTCCCGTTTTGAACGGGACTGCTCTTTTTCCAATTACGAGTCCCGGTATCCCCAAAATGAACTGAGGGACGCAAAATGGTCCGGTTTCAGAAACCGCGCGAAAATAAGCAGCAAAAAAAACGTGCCAAGAGTTTCATTCTTATTTAAAATCATCACCATCTATATTAAAACAAATTTGTTCTTCTGATAAATATAAATATAACTAAACATTTTGAGTACCTCTATGTCGTAACTTTTTAGCGAACTAACTTTTTCTAAATAAATAACTTTAAAAAAGTCTTTTTTTTTCATTGACCACTTATTATTTGACCTAAATTAAACCAATGTCCCGTTTTGTGTCAAAGAATAAATGGTCACTTTATGTATGATACAACCATTTAACTATCTAGTATTATATATATACGCATAGTAATATAGTCGTCGAGTGATAATAGCTTAGACACTCCTTGATAAATGGACAATCCAAGGCATTTTTGTTAAACAAACAAGCTATTATTATAGATAATAGTTCCAAATTGTAACGTTAGTAAATTCTAACGTATCTTGTGATCATAATTCACGTAACATATTATGAAAACGGTAATGCTAATTACAACTTTCTATTTCCTTTGTTATGAGCTATTACTTAATCTTAAACGTATACTTAAATATTACAATAATATGAATATTTTTGACATCATTATTATCAGTATTTACTTCAAGTTTTGAGTATACAAAACTACGATGTTTCAAATGCTTTAAAAGATGCAATAATATTTTTGTCATAACTGTGAAATATTTATTTTGGAAGGAGTTTGAAATTTTCCATTATTAATCCAATACTTCTTGTATATTTTTTTATAAAGTATATTCAATCGTCTTTTTAAGGCTACAACCCCTTTAAGTCTTGGCAATAGACTTCTGAATATGTTTCATGATCATTTTTAAATCTAATAGGCAAGTGGGTGATCAGCCTCTAGTGACTGACACACGCAGTCGCCTTTTTGGGTCTAAGACATGTCGGTTTCCTCACGATCTTTTCCTTCACCGTTCGAGCAAATGTTAAATTCGCACAAATAAAGAAAGTCCATTGGTGCACAGCCCGGGATCGAACCTACGGCAGGTATGAAAGTCGCACGCTAAAGCCACTCAGCCAACACTGCTCAATGTAAAGTTATCACTGGCTTGAAAATGATGATGAAATGAGACAATGATACTCTACATTACTTGACCAAGATTATACACAACTGACGTATTTCTAAGTGTCAACGAAATATCAAATTTCAGATACTAAGTTGTCATAAGAAAGTGTTTTGTGTAACTAGATGAGTTGGCAGCCTTTCACTTAACACGATTCTTGCGTCATGTTACTGGCGTCACTCGGTACTCGTGAGTTCAGTCACTTAATATTAGTGGTTATAAATACATATAACAATATTTCATTATATTTATTTCTAACACACAAATATACAGTAATTACAATATTCGTAATCTACGTAATAATAATGATTAATAAAAGATAAATAGAAAATTAAAACAAATTTAAATATGTAGTTTGGTTCCTGTGGCAGTGTGCCTTTAACGCTGGCATTTCCTCGCTCTATTGCGATACTTATTCATTCTACAAGGCGACAACTTAAATCTTTAATTAGCGCCCGTGCACTCTAACCCCACAGATATAAATTAGTCATAAACATATCTGCTGTCTGCCTCTAAGTGTTTTATAACACTTATTTATTCGCAGAGTGATAAAGACAAAACATTCAATAGCAATTTGGACGTAGTTTAAAATTAAGAAAGCAAATATTTTTATTTTTCACATTGGAAGAAATAATTTATGAATTATTTTAATGCCTTCTGATGAAAAAGTATTTATTTTATAACAAATTAATATGCTAAGTAGGTCCCGCTACTCAATATATTTTAGTCCATAGACGGGTATTGTAAGGGGGAAATCAACCACATACAAGCTCACTTGAAAACAATTATAAACTTTGTCAAGTTGGAAATTAGTTTGAAATTGAATTATCCTTAAATTGGGTAGACATTATACACTGTAAGCGACAAATTAATTGTCTATAGTTAATTTTATTAGTAACAGTAGTAAAATAATATGTTACGTTTAGACCCCACTTGGAGGTGTACACGGAATCCTAGCACTTTCTCATTGTACTATTAAAAAGTACATTACACATTAAAAAGTACTTAGTGGTGTATGATTCTCTATTGCGTGCCAAAAAGTACAAAGTGCTTCGAATATTTTCGCTAAGTGTTTTTTACACAAATGTTTATAGGTTAGTCTTTGTTCAGGAATCTCGAAATTAAATGTTTATATTACAATGTGGAAATGTACCCTTTGTTGAAAACAATTATAAACTTTGTCAAGTTGGAAATTAGTTTGAAATTGAATTATCCTTGGGTAGACATTATACTCGTAAGCGCAAATTAATTGTCTATAGTTAATTTATTAGTAACAGTAGTAAAATAATATGTTACGTAGACACGTACACGGAATCCTAGCACTTTCTCATTGTACTGTTCACCTTTTTGGTGTAATAAAGTTGTTATTTATTATATTATTTTAACCAACTATATTTGTTATTTTATATACGAATAAGTTAGTTGAATGCATTTTATGTCTAAAAGGAAACGGTCTTATAAAAAAATCACTGTTTAGCGTCAGGCTAGTTGTGTTACGAAAACCGTACACACTACAGTGTATGCAAGCAATAAAGTGTAAATAAATACATTTAGGTTCACAAAATAGAAAGTCGTACTTAAATGGAATACTAAATATTGGAACAATAGTAAACGAAACGTGTTGCATCGTCATAAAGACTTGATTTGTCTTCATATTATTCTGTCTATAAATAATAATAACTCAGTAGCTGTCTTGGTCTCAGATTGCATTTGTTTCTTTGATATTTTTATTTCATAGACAAGTCAACCTTGTGTGTGACTCATGTTGTCGGATTATGGATTTGATGCGCACATAGAAACTCCATTGGTGCACACCGAACGGGAGATCTCAGGGAGACCTCATGAGAGTCGCACGCTGAAGCCACTAGGCCAACACTGCTTTTTTATATAAAAAACATGAGTATATAATACAAAAATAAGAGGTAGTGGGGTTGCGAAGCTGACTATGCTTTATGGGTTCTTAAAACTAAGTGACACATCTGTTACCCATAAGGGATATAAGTGGTGTTGACCTATTTTACATTTCTACTAGTGGAGCCCACAGACGTTGTCCTGCATGATATTTAAAGCGATTAGGATATTAAGCAAAGTATGAAAGTACCGACTGCAGTGCCATCT